CCGGCATGGATGTCATCAGAGGGCAAGCGAAATTTTAAACACCCCCCCCTTCCTTACCCCCCCCCCACCACCCCAAGAGCCAAAAAAACAAAAAAAATCAGCAAGTCAAGCAGCAAAAACACCGAAAATAGCGACGTTTGCGTCCTGGATGTCATCATTCGACACGACGTTTTAACCCCCCCCCCACCACCACTACTACTACACTACTACTACTACTACTACTACTACTACTACTAGTACTACTACTACTACTACTACTACTACTACTACTACTACTACTACTACTACTACTACTACTACTACTACTACTACTACTACTACTACTAGCCGCCCCCCCCCCCAACCAACTACCACGCGTGAGGCGCATGTACAAAGTAACTGGCAGGCGTGGTACGGGAAGCACTTGCCAAGCATTGGTTTTACTTCTCCGGATCAGACGTTGGACATAGAAAAACGCTCAAAACCCGAATTTTGGACGTCATTTTTTTGAAAAGTTGTTCGTTGTGCGCTGGTTTAAGGTTTTGGGTTCAGTGTTGAGGCTTTCGGGCTTTGCAAAACTCTGGCTGTTTTGGGTTTGGGGTTTAGGGTTGAGGGTTTAGGGTTGAAACTTTCGGGCTTTGCAGAGCCCTGCCTGTTTCGGGTTCAGAGTTGAGGATTCAGGGTTTTGGGTTGAGGCTTTCGGGCTTTGCAGAACCGTGCTCGTCTCGGGTTTAGGGTTGAGGGTTCAGGGTTTTGGGTTGAGGCTTTCCGGCTTTGCAAAACCCTGGCTGTTTTGGGTTTAGGGTTGAGGGTTTGGGGTTGACTACTTGCCTTCTCTGCAGAACCTTTTTTTTGGCTGGTGTGTCTTGTGTCTAAAGCATGGTTCGGGGAACAGGGTCTCCACAGGCGACCCTTCATTTTCCAACCAAAACTAGGCACAGCTATCGCTCAGAACTAAAGGAGATCCCAGTCTGTCGACTCTCTTGGAGCTTCGGCGTGAAGGTTTCGGCTTCGGGTGAAAAGCACGAGATGGAGCTTTGGCATGAAGGTTTCGGCTTCGAGTGAAAATCACGAGATGGAGCTTTGGCATGAAGGTTTCGGCTTCGGGTGAAAAACAGGAGATGGAGCTTTGGCATGAAGGTTTCGGCTTCGGGTGAAAAACAGGAGATGGAGCTTTGGCATGAAGGTTTCGGCTTCGAGTGAAAATCACGAGATGGAGCTTTGGCATGAAGGTTTCGGCTTCGGGTGAAAAACAGGAGATGGAGCTTTGGCATGAAGGTTTCGGCTTCGGGTGAAAAACAGGAGATGGAGCTTTGGCATGAAGCCTTGGCAGGAACGTAAATACCCCCCCCACCCCCCCCCCACCCACCACGCACTGGGAACATGGATGTTAGCATTGGCATGAAGGTTTCAGCTTCGGCTTCTGGTGAAAAACAGGAGATGGAGCTTTGGCATGCAGGTTTCGGCTTCGCGTGAAAAACAGGAGATGGAGCTTTGGCATGAAGCCTTGGCAGGAACGTAATTACCCCCCCCCCACCCACCACGCAGTGGGAACATGGATGTTAGCATCCTGCTGGGTAGTTGGTAGGGGGGGGTGCCTACTACTACTACTACTACGACGACTACTACTACTATTACTGCTACTACTACTACTACTACTACTACTACTACTACTACTACTACTACTACTACTACTATTACTACTGCGACTACGACTACGACTACGACTACGACTACGACTACGACTACGACTACGACTACGACTGCGACTGCGACTACGACTACGACTACGACTACGACGACTACGACTGCGACTACTGCTACTACTGCTGCTACTGCTGCTACTACTACTACTACTACTACTACTACTACTACTACTACTACTACTACTACTACTACGACGACTACGTTGGTGTAAAACAAGGGACCTTTAATGACATTGTTTTGCCAGGTTCATGTCCAGTTGTGCATGTTCTGCAGTTGCGTGTTCATACCAACATAGCCTCTTGGCTAACGTGTCCTTTGTGTGCTTCCGTTTTTTTCCTTCATTTTTGCGTCTTTCTTTATTTCTTTCTTTCTTTCTTCCCTTCCTTCTTTCTTTCTTTCTTTCTTTCTTTCTTTCTTTCTTTCCTTCTTCGTTTTGGCCCTTGCCCCCCGCTTTTGGTGCTCTCCCACTCCCCTTGTCTCTTCTTCCCTGTTCTTGTGTCTTCTTCCCTGTTTGTTTTCTTCTCCTTTTCCGTTCCTTTCCTTTGTTTTCCTCTTTTCCTTTCTTATGCTTCTCCTTCCCGTTCCTCCTTGTATGGAACCTATGCCACCTACGAGAGCCGACATCACGTTTTGACGGCTCCCTCAGGATCAGAAACAACGTGCAGTTCTTCCGAGTCGATGGATCGCAATGCCGTGGAGTTTCGCGAGTTGTTGGCCGGAGATGGCGGAACGTGAGCTTTCGATTATAATGGATAGAATCACCAATGATGACTCCTGACCCATGAACCACTCATGATGATTGCTTCGGCATTCGTGATGCAAAAGATCCTTTAGACTCGTGCCCAGTTGATTCTCACAGATTTGACGTTCAATCGTTGCAGTGATGACTGGATTTCAGCAATAATTGACTGGAAGAAGATGAAGATGGGACCCCAAAGGCTTCTTCATCTTCGAAGGAACAGCGCCCTGACTAAAAAGTCACGCAAAGGCCCGCCAAGAAAAGTGTGGATTACTACCACAAGACGATGTTATCATGAACTTGGATGCGGTCGACTCAATCATATAGTTTCGATAGATGATGTTACGTTTGATGTGGCCAGTGGCTACGCGTCGAGGACTGAAACCTGTGCAGATGATTGCGCCCGCCTCAGTAGGCAGGATCGGCCTCTTCCCGCTGCATTCTTGTCTGGTGCCCAACATTATGTACTGTTCAGCCTTGTCACTTGGAGTTTTGTCTTTTGTTCAGCCGTTTTTTTATCTTGGTAATCAGGTTTGTGCAGCCCCTACGATGCCCTACGTTTTGGCGTGGGTGCACATTTCGGACGATACCCTCTACACACAAGATGTATGGGATGAATTTGGAAAGGTCCATTAGTCGAGACTTCGTGACGATTTCAAAGAGAATTGGCGGTCAAGTGGACTGACTGGTCCGAGAAAGAGTGGCCTAAGAACATCATCGATGACGTAGTTCCCAATGCTCCCAAGCCACATAAAGAGGTCCAGGCGAACGGTCGCATCAAGAATTGGTATGCATGTCGCTCCCGTAGCCTGCATACTAAACATCATCAACTGAAGCGATGACGGATCCGTAGGCAGCGCTGAATTGGCAGGCTTCTCGGCGCAGTTGAGCAAGGGTAACATTTGAAACTGTGGTCATCAGATAGTGTCCGTTCGAGCCTAAAAACAGAAACGCGTCACGTCACCCACGCAGCAAAACCTACAGAAAAGACCGAAGAGCCTGAGCACATAATCAAAGGAGACATGGTGAGACACATCGACAGATCGACCTAGGCGTTTGCAATGCCTCACATGTGGCTTCAACAAGGTGTGCGTGGAGTACATGTTGGTGTTCTTTCTGGCCAGGGTCGATGTGGATGGAGTCGAATCTGTGTTTTTTCCCAAGTGCCCACCGTACTCGAGACTCGTAGACGTCCAACTCCATTACTTTGTATTCTAGCTACGTCAAAGCAACTGTTGTTTTCACCCGTACAATGAGAGCATGTTCACCACATAACGGAGGCATCTGAGACTGCCGTCGGTACTTCGGTATTCTGGTATTTTGACTCTCGGCCGTAGCAACTGCGGATATCAGGGCTGATCACCCTGCCGTACCGGCGGAGAAATACAATGTTTGTGACATCTTCTATTGTGATGATCCTCGATGTGAGCTTGCAGGAGTCTGAACTCGGCCGTGAGACATGGAGCAAAAGTGGGTTGTGCTCCCCGCCCTTGGTGTTTAAACTGGACCGGTCTCTGGAGTGCCCACCCCCAGAGAAGCCCTCAGAGAGTATCGCCAGGAAAGGCCCAAACTTCAGTGAGCCCTGTCGAGTATCCCTGGAGTGCCCATTTCCTGAGTGTCCCATACGGGGCCTCGGCGACTGGCCGCATGGCTGGCAGCACAGTGCGTCGCGAACTCGCAACCTACACTTCCGCGAGCGCACGCTGCTACCAGCCTTGCCGCCAAGCGCCTGCGCGCTCTTGCGTTCTCAAGCTGGGCCGCACGCAGGCGCCTGGTTAACAGCCGTTCCAGCGGAGCCCGCCGGCGATCATGCCTTGGACTGCCCTGTGCGAGGGCTGTTGGCTCGGCGAGCAAAAATGGCTTTGCCTCTCCACAGCTCCTGGCGTTGCCCCAGAAACGCCGCGCGAACGTGCGGTAAGTCTTCCGCTGCGCTGCCTCGTTCCAGCGCCCGCCCATTTCGGAGCCGAGGACGAGGAGCCGCTGCGGCCCGCCCGCGTTAAGCTCCGGGTAGGCGGTTCGCTTGCACCACTCGGCCAGGCCCAACGGGCCCCGCCGGCACTGCGAGCAGCGGCCACATCCGCCTGGACAAGACGGTGGTGGGCGGCTTTGGAAGTAGCGGCGCAGCAGGCAGTGACCAGCACGGCGCTAGGAAGCCCTGGCCCGCGCCGCCACACGCGAGCCAGCGACAGGGCCCCGCGCTTGACCATGTGCTCGACCTCGCCGAAACTGCGGGGCCGAGCCGATTGCCGCTGCGCAAGCCCGCTAGCCGTAGTGGGGCGGGGCGGTATAGGGGTAACTGGAGTAGGGGAACCCGACCTCGCAGGACCTTCTTCATGTAGGCGGAAAATTCTGGAGAAAAAACAGCAGGCTTGAGCCCCTCCGGGGAAGCAAAAACTAACCTACGTCGCACAACGCCCCTGTGGATAAAGCCCAACTTCTGTGCACATCTGCCCCTTCTGAATTTGAGCAACTGTGCATTCAGGCCAAATGCCTGCAGGACAGAGACAGACAGGAACATTGCCCCGGATAGAATCCTTGGGCCTGACCATGACAACAGACTGTGGGTATACCTTCAATGACCGACCCCTGCCGAAATGTGGGGCGCCTGGCCAAGGGCAACGGCCGCTTGCACGGCGACCGACAGCCAGCCCGCTGCCGCTGCTTGCCGGACCGTGGGGGGCGCGCGGCAAGCGCGCAAACGGATCATATCTCTGACACACCGCAGCGCGCCTCCATTCCAGCGGCCTCCCACTTCGGCCCCAAGCACGACAGCCTCTGCGGGCCGCCCCGTGCGAGCTCTGGGTAGGCTGCCCACCTGCGTCTTTCCGCCACCCTAAGCGCCGCCCCATCGTTCTCCGCCGCGGCGAAATATTGCGGTAGACCCGTGCGCCAGCGGGGACACGAGGGTGGCATCGCAGCACAAAGCGAGACCCAGCGGGGAAGCGCCGTAGACGATGAGATCCAATCGGCGCCGATCTGTGGCTGGGAGCGTCCGGATGAGTATCCCTGGAATGCCCACCCCAAAGTGTTCAACCCAGAATGTCCCGAGCCCTACCCCGCCCAGTATCCCTGAAGTGCCCACCTTTTGCAGAGGATGCCGAGGGTGCCGAGAATCGTGGATTGCAAATTCGGAAGCGTTTTGAATGAAATGCAGCTGACAAGGGTCCGGGCTTTTAAGGTTCGTGCGGAGATTCTGAGCTTCGGTTTGGGGTCGTGGGCTCCGGCCCTTAATATAAATGTCGAAGTCATCGCACGGTTTGCCGACGGGAGCTGTTGTCGTTCATGGTGAAGTGAGTTTGGGCTTTGGGGCTTCGGAAAAGAAGAATGTCTACAACCATGTGCGTTGCTGGGCTCGCAGGCTTGTGCCGTTCTGTGCCCTCTTGCAGGAGCACAAATTGGGAAGTGAATACACATGTGACAAGCAAGATGCCAAGTAAGATTCTAAGTAGGGGCAAATCAGTAGCCAAAATTAAGTCATCCCAACTCCTTCCAAAAATAATCCCAGTTCGAACCCGTACTCGAACCTGAACTCCCCCCGCCCCTCGTGTTGTTCGTGACGTTATGTCCCGAACTCGATCGCGAGTCTTCCCACCACCTCCACCCCGAAAAAATGCAGCCGACCACTTGTGTGAACTTCTGCAACGAGGACGAGTTTAGGAGTTCCCAGCAAGAAGACATGTTAGAGGACACGCGCGCTGATTAATACGTGTGTACATCGCCACAACGATGGCGCGGCCCGAGTTCCGAACCGAGATGGGTTTGAAGATTGGCAGGGTTTGGTAGAGTGTAACAGACAGAGGGCTTTGTAAGGCATAATTCGATGATATATATATATATATAGTATATAGTATATAGTATATAGTATATAGTATATAGTATATAGTATATAGTATATAGTATATAGTATATAGCATATAGCATATAGTATATAGTATATAGTATATAGTATATAGTATATAGTATATAGTATATAGTATATAGTATATAGTATATAGTATATAGTATATAGTATATAGTATATATAGTATATATAGTATATATAGTATATATAGTATATATAGTATATATAGTATATAGTATATAGTATATAGTATATAGTATATAGTATATATAGTATATAGTATATAGTATATAGTATATAGTATATAGTATATAGTATATAGTATATAGTATATAGTATATAGTATATAGTATATAGTATATAGTATATAGTATATATATATATATCTGGTTTTCATAGGGCTTCATGTTATGTCAGGTCTTATACGGATTTCTTCGGCAGTTCGGCAACTAGGACAGAGGCATTCTTGAGACTTGTGTTGCATTTCATGCAGCTGTGTAGCTTTTTAGAAGGGGAACACAGATAGGTTCACTGGGCATTCGTTGTATTTGGGGTTATACATAGGGTTATAATTGTCATGAGTTATAACCTTCTTTGGGGCCTGAAACCCCACAAATAACCACCCGTCTTTTTCAAGACGCTTCCCAACCCCGCTGCAAAATGTACTACGCCCTTTTTTGCAAGGACTGTAGCTCAGAAACAGCCAAGGTTTAGGGCTGGGGGTTTGAGAGTTTAGGGCTAATAAGGTTTAGGCTTCAACCCCTACGTACACCCCATCAAAACCTTGAAGCCCGGCCCTGCAAACTCTGAAACCCCGGGTGATGACCAAAGGCCACCGCGTTAAACCAATTCTCTGCAAGGAAAGTCGGGGGTTTCGAGGTTTAACGGCTCATGGGTTTCGGGTCCGACGCTTAGCTATCATCAGAAGATATTCGTGTTGATAAGAATAATAGCAAGAATGCTAGTAGTAATGTAGCACAGATTTTGTAGAGTTTGCTGCAGGGTTTGGAGCACGAGGTGCTTTATAGGGCTTTACGGTTATTAGACCAATAGCCGCCGTCCCGCTGTCGTCGCTGTCATCGTGATGATGGTGGCGCCACGTGGGTAAAGCAGCTGAGGCCTGCCTTCGTTTATGTGGCCTCGGTTGGCCGGCAAAACTTCAAGAAGGCCACTCAGAGTCACGTGTTGGCTGGTCATCGAAGCCGAGGTATCGTGAGCCTTGCTCGCTTGAGCATAGCCGTTCCAACTCCACAGGTCCAAAACCTCACATCCGGAACAAAAGATAGTGGGATAGGGCGCTGATGCCAACACGTCTTCGTCAGTGCTTGTTGGTACAAAGCGGCCAGCAGTCGCATCGCGACAAGGAGACCTGCCCCGCTGACGCCATCAAGGACTGGTCTATGTTTGTGGGCTTTCGGCTTGGAGAGGGCTGGAAAGCTGAACACTTCAGGTTGTGAGGAGGTTTGGCTTGAGGGGTACACGTTTCGGTACATTGTTCAGGTTGACGTTTTGTCAAGTATCGGTTCCATTCCACACCTTTTTGCGGATGGCAAAGCCCGATGGCTAGATCTCGCACCCGCGCACGGAAGTAGGGCCTCAGCAAAACGATTCAAAAAAACCTGCAAGTTTCACATCTGTTCGTGTTCACGGCTGAGCCCGCTTTCGAATTGCAGCGAACGCATCGATATACTCCACGTGCACCGCAGGAACCCTGATAGCATTCCCGCGGAACTGCTTGAAAGCGTGTAGTTGAAACCCTGAGTTTACGCCTTACACTTGCTAGTTTGAGCCTCCAATCCTCTCCATTCACATGATTCCCATGCTTAAGCATGGGCAGTTCTGCGAATACCTACGCAACCCCAAGACTCCATCCTAACAGCACAAGCTTTAGGTACGGTTTTTGTCCCCCAGATGCGATCGAAGCTAGGCTGGTGCCAGAAAGCGACAATTGCTAGTCAATAGTCAGTCTGAGAGGTCCAGAATTCCACCCAAGCGCCGCACCTCCTCCAAAAGGAGAAGGAGCGCAGGTACAACGACCTATTTTTGGGTGCATGTGCAGCAAGTGCATTGCAGCAAGTGCTCAACATTCGTGTCAAGGGTTCGGGGCTCGGCCGGAATCTCATCTAGAAAGCCAAAGTTGCAATTTACACCGGGTCCGTTGTCAGAGGCAGAAGCCGCCATCACACAGACCAACGAGATGCATGCATACCTCTATGCGCTGTGTTATATGGATAAGTGCTTACGGCTTACAACCATGAGCTTGTATACATCTTGCGAAGATCTTGCGTAGGTGGGAGACCAAAGCTCCGCACAACGTGGCCGAGCTTCAGGCGTTGCTTCGTGGCAGCCACCGGGTGTAGTCTTGATAACTGATGGGGGGGGTGGGGGGCGGGGCGTATCAGCACGAACCAACTTGATGTTTACTACTTGCCGTTCCGTTCCGAGGAATCATTAGCCTCAGGGGCTTCCAGCTGCTATCAACTTGACTAGGCCTGTGGCCAACACCCCGGTCGCAAACCCGCGCGGAGGTCGAAAAGCCTTCCTGTTCCTGGCCAGCAAGCATGGATCTGCCTCCTGGCAGCGCCAAGTTGCACCTTTGAGACTTCGGCACATTGGGAACACAGAACGTACCATTGACATCCCAGGAGTCTACAAAGCGTCACACAAGCTTCGTTAAAGGCCTGCTCCACGCGCCGGGCCTCCAAATTCGGCGCGAGCCCTGGAGCGAGCCACTGGACAAGAGAAACCAGGTTGGCGAAGATTAGAGACGTCTGTAATGTAGTAGTCCTGTGTGATTCTCGAGGGTTCTTGAGGTTTGAGCTTCATGATGCACGCTGATGTGCCGCTCCGATCAACGAGCCCCGATGACATACTCCCTTCGTGGAGTAAATGGGCTTGTTCCGGCGACACTGCGAAAACTAACTGTCCCGACCAGCCAAATTTGGTCGGAGACGCCGACTCTTACTCAACCTTTCGCGGCCCTTTGTTGGACGTATACATACATGTGAAGCTGCTAGCAGGAGGTGCAAAGCCTTCTTGGAACGCAAATCGTTGCATACCATTGTGTGCTTCAGTTTTACCGAATTGATGCTTGTCGCTGGAGTTTGGCGGTCTCTGATCAACGCATGTTCCTTTGTTTTGCGTGCGTGCTTTCCTTTGTGTGTGTGTGTGTGCGTGTGTCCGAGTGTGCACGATTTCAGATTTTTGTTCCAAGATCCACTTTTGAGAAGGGTGTGCCACCAGCCGCTCACCTGTTCTTCTTTTGTCGTTTCTTTTTCTTATTCCTTTGCCTTCTTGCCCGGGTTCTCAGACATCAGACATACTAGATCACATCTGTCAACGCTGCTCAAGCGCGTGGCGGTGTGCAAGGTGAACTTGCAAGATCATTGGATAAGCCGGATAAGCGATCCCAACATTTGGCGCTGGTGTTTGCACGGGCGCATGATGCTGCTATGGGACAATCGTTAGTCGAACATGGTCTCTTATGATAGGATGTGGAAAGGATACTGATGCTGCGGATGTTGCGCACGGCTGAACTCCAGCCGGTCGAGGGCCATTGTGTACGCAAGCGGTTGTTTGATGTTCTTCCTGTTGAGTCCACACTTCAGCACCCAGACCCGAGGCACCTTCACCGCTGGCATCGCTTCGCCTACATGGAGGCAGCACCCCACCATGATGCAAGCTCGCACTAACACTACTGATTTTGGACGCCCGGGTGTATTCACGACTTCTTTTCCAAGACCTACGTCTCAGCCGCAAGCAGCACACGCCGCATCACGCAGCATCACGCAGTCTCATGGCCATGGGCGCACTCAACGATGTCGAACTTCTCGTCACTGACTCAAAGCTTGAAAAGTTTGGAATAGTCTGGAATAGTACAACAGAAGGTCTCGATGTAAAGCTCCGCATGCGAGGAGGCGCCTCGTCCACATCAGAAGGGCGGCCCGGGAGCCCAGCGGGTGAGTTATGACACCGCACATGAGTTTCGTAGACACTTTACGAAGGTAGGGTCTTGGGAGTATTCGTAAGATTGTATTCTATCTTTGGGTTGGGGCATGTTACCCGGCCTGACGGTAGCGGTGCCCATTGTCCATCCCAAAGTCCAAACAAGGCGAGCAGGAGTATGGGGGTGACCTTCACGCCCGCATGCTGCGTCGAGGATGAAACGCAGAGACATGCAGACTCCTGAGTACAGTAGACCCAGTAGACCCCCAAGACATTGAAAGCCCAGCGGCGTGGCAAGGCCAATGTTGCCGACGCCTTCGACGGTCCGGTGGGAGACGGGCCTTGTGGTGTGGGCCCCAGCGGGCTTGAGGCTGTATCCTGGAGTCCCGCCTGACCCGCGTTCCTGTAAAGCAGCCTAAGCAGCTCTTTGTACCGGTTCCTGTCCGTGATGTTTCCAAGAGCACAGCTTCAAAGCGACATGTAGCCTTACAAGCCCTAATGCGCAGGTCACTCGGGAGGGTCCGAAGCGCTTCCTCTCGGCGGCCTCTGGGGGAAGCTCGAAAGCCTCCACAGCGGCTTCGGCATCCTACATGCTGGAGCAAGGCACCCTTAACGCCCCCAAGCCCATGTCCTCACTCGGAAGTTGGTTTCGGGTTCTTTGTTTCTATCATCTAGGGTGATGGCAAGGCGAAGCTCATAGCCTGGACTATCGACGTCATGTCAGCGCATGAAGCTTGCATTCGGCAGCCCAGCTCGGCGCAGGCAGCGGCTACTTCCAGGAATCAGCAGGCCAGATTGTCCCGTAGACAAACACGTGCGGACAGGGCATGTAGCCGCAGCATCGCGGGCCATGAGGCATATGGAGGCAACATGAGCAAATGCCGTATCTGCATCTCACTCTTGTGCGGTGCCTGAGAAAGATCGGATACCGTAGCTTTCATACGGCTCTTTCAGTTAAGCCAGCTGCCCCGCTGCTCCAAATCGTTGGGGTGTTGCATCGCATTCACGCCAGTAGAACAGCGGGAGAGCTGCCTGACCAGGCCACGGCTACAACCGGAGCAGTGGCTGGAACGAGGAGGCCGGAACCCCAAAATTCGGCATCTTTCGTATCTACAAGCGATCCATGATTAGCATTATGGCAAGGCTTTATATAAGTGGGCCGTGATTTAGAGCAGGGTTCAAGAGGTTTTGAGATGTTGGGAGACGGGCCTTGTGGTGTGGGCCCCAGCGGGCTTGAGGCTGTATCCTGGAGTCCCGCCTGACCCGCGTTCCTGTAAAGCAGCCTAAGCAGCTCTTTGTACCGGTTCCTGTCCGTGATGTTTCCAAGAGCACAGCTTCAAAGCGACATGTAGCCTTACAAGCCCTAATGCGCAGGTCACTCGGGAGGGTCCGAAGCGCTTCCTCTCGGCGGCCTCTGGGGGAAGCTCGAAAGCCTCCACAGCGGCTTCGGCATCCTACATGCTGGAGCAAGGCACCCTTAACGCCCCCAAGCCCATGTCCTCACTCGGAAGTTGGTTTCGGGTTCTTTGTTTCTATCATCTAGGGTGATGGCAAGGCGAAGCTCATAGCCTGGACTATCGACGTCATGTCAGCACATGAAGCTTGCATTCGGCAGCCCAGCTCGGCGCAGGCAGCGGCTACTTCCAGGAATCAGCAGGCCAGATTGTCCCGTAGACAAACACGTGCGGACAGGGCATGTAGCCGCAGCATCGCGGGCCATGAGGCATACGGAGGCAACATGAGCAAATGCCGTATCTGCATCTCACTCTTGTGCGGTGCCTGAGAAAGATCGGATACCGTAGCTTTCATACGGCTCTTTCAGTTAAGCCAGCTGCCCCGCTGCTCCAAATCGTTGGGGTGTTGCATCGCATTCACGCCAGTAGAACAGCGGGAGAGCTGCCTGACCAGGCCACGGCTACAACCGGAGCAGTGGCTGGAACGAGGAGGCCGGAACCCCAAAATTCGGCATCTTTCGTATCTACAAGCGATCCATGATTAGCATTATGGCAAGGCTTTATATAAGTGGGCCGTGATTTAGAGCAGGGTTCAAGAGGTTTTGGGATGTAGAGGACTGGCGAGCTTGGGTTTGGGTTACGGTAGGAGGCAACCCGAACGCCGCAAGATGCCACGTTTCAAGGTGGGGCACATCGGCTCCGATGCAGCGAGTGGGTTCAAGCTGAATGAGATGGACCTGCAAGGCACCACGATTGTTCTCTTCCAAAGCAGAGGCATAGACACCTAGCAGGTATCGACCAAAGCCTCGTGTGACACTAGCGATGCAAAGTGCCTGAGCCTCCCTCAAGCCCAAAAACCTCAAATTCCAGGCCAACCACCTCTCCATGAGAACGGCCACTGGAACGAGGCAGGGGTGTACAGATTTCAAGGTTACGGAGTCCAAGTTTATTTTGAACCCGAGAGACTGCCCTAACTTGTTTGGAAGTCTAGACGCCCCATAGCCCGAGACCCTAATTTGAAGCTTGCGCCTTTTTTGCAGGGGAACTTCATGTCCGTGGACGTCGCCGTTGCACCCCCGACATGCGATGAGGCAACCCCTCGCCAGGGATTTGGGGGGGGGGCGAGTTGTCCGGACAATATTGTGAAGAAGATAGTTGGCATAACGTAGTGAGCCTCTCCCAATTACACAATGATACAAGTCTACCCCTCAGCATTCGTGGAACATTGCCGTGGGTTTAGTCGCATTCCTCGCGCCCTAAGCCCAGTACCTGCAGAACCCCTAAACTCCGCGAACTTTAGCGGGCCCTATGATCTGAGTCCAGTGACTCCAACACATTGCAGTCTGGTACTATGGTGTTGGGAACTTCCACACCTGTGAGTTGCTCAATCTCCCTCCATACCCGTACTCATCTCGAATTTGTGTCAAAGTCGATACTGCCCCCCCGCATGGCCCGACCCGCTCCGTGAGGCAGTGGCAGAAGTGGCGCTCTCAGCCCGGATGCTTCTGGCATGGCAGCCACACGAGTCAGGAACAATTTAAGGCTGCAGGTCCCACGCAAATTCATTGTCAGATTCTTTTCGCATGCATTGCAGGCGTAATTCTCTCAGAGAGTGCTGGCCTGAGCTTAGCCGGACGATGGCCAGCACAATTGCTGGTTGTCAGTCGCGGCACTAATAATACACCGCTACGCGGCCCGCTTCGCCCAGTGTATCCAGCTGAGCACATGCTTTTCGGTGTGCTCGATGAGTCGGACTCACTTCATCCGCAAGCTCGTGTCATCCCCTCCCCCGCCCGGCCCCCCCCCCCGCTGCCCCCCCCCCCCGGCCCCCCCCCCCCCCCCCCCCCCCCCGGCCCCCCCCCGGCCCCATTGACTTCGAATCGGAGAGCGTCGGAGTATCGGATCTGTCAAAATGGACTGTCGGGAGGAGCCCCCTGAGCTGCTCTGCGAGGTCCCGCTGGCCCAGAATCACGTGATACGGCTGCTGCGGCAACTTCCCCTAAGCTCCTCATTCTCGGATTGGGGTCCCAGTCTTGCTGTGTGTGACCAGGTCATCGAAGGTCATCGGAGTTGGCTTAGGGCCGGCTGCAACCCGAAAAAGGCTTGTGGTGCAGGGAGGAGGATTAGAGCACTTCGTAGACGCCTGAACCTGCAGTGTCGGCGGATATTGATTGCACTGGCATGCTCTCACACTTGTGTCCTTGCCCCTTCCTGTTGCGACAAGCTTTGACATGTGGTGTTACTCCGTCGTTCTAAGTATTCATTGCCGAAATGGTGATTGCCGGCTGCCGCTACCACGACCACGACCGCTTCCGACTCCAGAACTCCTGCTTTTGCTCCGCCATTGACTATATTAATACTGTTGATGCAAATATTTCGGTGCCTGCTGGGTCGCTTAGGAAGACAGCGACGAGTGTCTGCTGGGCCCTTAGTGGTGGTTTGCAGTAAGAGCCTGCGGAAATTCGGGCTACAAGTCCGCTTTATGACCGTTTGAAAGCATGTACTCGTAATGCAGTGGGCCTGCTGCCGGAACCGATGTCGGTCACGGGTCCAAAACAGCTTTAGAAGGGACATCCGTGAACAGAAGGTTGTGGATGGTTCCAGATAGTTTAGGAAGAACGTAGAACAGAGTTCGGATTTGGGCTGAGCCTTTCGGCGGTAGGGCTTGAAATCCACGGTGAAAAAAGATGATGAATGCTCAAGGCAGTGACGGGCACATCGTTCAGAGATTCTGAAAGTTTCCTTGAGGCCAGAGTTGCTGGATGTAACCCCGCGCGCTGAGCCGCAGGCTTGCGGTTGCATAGTACCAGAAGCTCTATGCCAGTGGTAGGGGTTGTTGCAGGTGTAGGGCTGGGATGATACGAGGCTTTGGGTGGTTTTGGGTTCAACATGGTTCAACCAAAGTGAGGGGCCGGGCTCTGTCGGAGGTGCCGCGGGCATTCCTGGAAAGGCCGCGCCGCCACTTGGCAGAATTCATGGAGTCTTTGGACAAAGCCTCCAAACCCCCGTAAGCCCCAGGCATCCGTAGGCCGTACAGAATCCCCACAAACACCACAAAGCGGAGCAAGATCCCGAATAGCCGAGTTATCCATGCCGCGCGGGCCGTCGCAAAGGACTTGCTGACTCACATTGCTGCTTCGGGCTTGGGCGCTTGTAAGGGCTTCGTGGCAGCGCCTGATGTGTAATGTTCACTTCGTATTAAGAACCCCCCCGGGGGTACGGTTACAGGCAGGCCGCTCTGTAATTAGAATTGGGAGCATGTGTGCTTACTTGTGCGGTCAGAGCATGAGCTGGTACACAGTTCTAGTAGGACGCTCAGCATTAAGGAAATAGCTGCTTTTCCAGCGAGAAGGACGCCGTGCGGCGCGCCCGCGGCGGGGAGGCGGCGGCAGCTCTGCAGGGCTTCGAGCATTGCCAGTGCCCCAGCCGAGTCCCCCAAGACTTCATCGCACATCGCCCCCCCCCCCCCCCCCAAATCCTTGAAACATTTTAATATTTTGGGGAGGGTCACATGTGGAAATATTTCAGTGTGGAATGTTCAGCTTCAGCAGCTGGATGTCCAACGGGGGCAAAATCCGAATTTGTGTCTCTTTGGCATGTCGGTAGCATATTGAAATATTTCGAGCTCAGACTGCTGCCTGTTGCTGGTGGCTCAGCAGGACTGGCAAATCACAGATGTGCAGACCAGTAAAGCAGGTGTCCAGCTATCATAGCTACTTCCTTCCCCCATGTCTTGCGCTGTGGCCTCTTCCAGAGTGCCTCGAGCAGGCCGTCTGTCCCGCAAGAACCGCAGGAATGCCCTGCGGGGCGGCGCTTCGGCTGGTGCGAAAAAGGCAAACTTCGAGTGCACGCATCGAGTGTCCTCTTTTGGATCCTTCTCAGCCAAGATCAGTCTGAAGTACCTTGGGACAGTGCTGGGGGGAAAGGGTTGCTTGGGGTCAGCCCCGGCAAAGCAAAGGTTCTCGGGCCGAGAACTGGAGTTTGCAAACCATGAGCCCGAAACCCCATAAGCCGTTCGCATCCTTTTGTCAGCCATGTGCAGTCCAGCTAATGTTTAGGTTGCCGGGGTGGCGGGCTCGGGGGCTATGTTTTGAGAATGTTTGGGATGTCGCGGGCGTTTTTTTCTCATTAACTGGGGTTTTGCAAACCCCAGTTCTCGGCCCGAGGAACCTGGTTTCGCTTTCTGCCCCCCAAAACTCCCATGATGGGGTTAAGGGTCCAAACTTCATCCCTTGACCCTGCCAGTAAGCCCAGAACGGGGTGATCATCGCACGATATCGCACGTCATCACCCTAGAAGCGCTCAAAGCCGCTGAGGCCTGGAGCTCCTGGTTGACCTGCTCGCTTCACATCTTCAGCGGGAGGAATCAAGCCACGGCTTGACATCCCCCAAAGCACAGCACGAACTCTGCGGTGCATAGATCACATGACCCCTGAAACAACCCTAGCTAGGAATCGACTTGGGATAATTTTGAATACCCTTATTGTTGAATATGGAGCCTTAATTTTAATCTTCGGGACTGTTGAAATCGACACCTACTGTGGTTCTGAGTATCAGTTCAATTTACCTGAAACTTGTTAGCAGTCGTCCAAAAGGGTGACCTTGACCGCAGGACGGCCAGGAGGTGTGGCGCCGCCTGAAGAAGGCAGGTGCAAATGTTCTTGATCATTGAATAAACCGTTCGTGGTAAAGAGCCTCGCCTACATTTTGGAGCTTCGGCACACAGTATGTCTTGTTTGGCATAGCCCTGCCCGATCAACGCCCCCATGCCAGGTGCTGTCTTGGATCCAGCAGCTGCAGGTCGGGTTCTCAGGGCACCAGCCGTCCGGGCGCCAGAGCAAGAGTGCGCGGCACGGATTTTTCGACTTCGTCGCATCTGTCAACCTTTTTTAAGTTTTCGGCGTCTGTTTTCGGGGCAGCCGAGCGCGATCTGAAGCACTCTTGATCTTTTCCCATGCATTCGTCCTTGTAGCCGTGACCCTCAATGATCGCATCAATTGCGCTCATTTCGGCTCCTTCCATTCTGAGGAGGCTGGCATCTCATGGCACCCTGCGCGAGCAGCCAGGCGCTGGTATATGGGTGTAGCCGGCCTAGAGGCTCTCATACGAGATGTCGGAGTTTCGTTTGCTGGTTCTCGCACATCTGAGTCGCAGGTTCTACCTGGCCCTGCTGGAAAGCCAGATTCCTGCTGGCACGCTTGGACAAGAGCTTGAGGAGGCGGCCTTGAAGGGTGTCTGCGGTGCCAGTAGTGAAACACCCCTTACTTGGCAATCCCGTCGTCAGTTTGCGGGCTGTGAGGGGATGCCGGCGGCATCGTATCATTCTCCAGTCGTTCTCCCAGTGCTTGTAGAAGACTAGCCATGCGTGTGGCCTGTCACCCGCCTTTTGCGTGTGTGCCCGGGCGTTCGATCCCGGCAATCTGCAATCTACCTACCGGTGGCAGAGCTTAGACTCAGATCCGAGTTGTGTTGCGATGCCACTTGCAGCGTGCAGACTTCAGATTCAGGACAATGCGGTGCGCCCTTGCGTTGTGGGATTGTGGTCTCCGAATAGCCACTGAAAACCATGTGAAAGTCCTGTCATCGTGTCCCGAGACAGTCAGGCTGCCAAGCAGCTGTGTGGCTTGGTGAAGGCACGTTGGCGACAAGATTTACACCAGCCACCCTTGATCACCTTGAAGATTCGGTAGCCCCGTGACAGTACCTTGCCGCTTCGCACCCCCCTAGTCATTTTCCTCATTGTGTGGCAACAGGCTGGCCAGGCATCCTTCCAGCAGGCAGAGACTCGACGTGTGGTGCGGCTCATGGACAACTGTGTACCTTGGCCTGACAATCGGAATCGGCACTGGGAGTCGCTAGAGTTATCAGAGTTGGTTTTGCTTGGTTTTTGTTGTGGCTTTTTTGTGCTTGTCTTCGCTGCAGTTTTCGCATGCTTTAGCCCGTTCTTGTGCTGTCGAAAGCTGTCGAAAGCTCGTTGGCAGGCCCAGCGGGGTGTCGCAGGATGGCTCGGCTTGGTGGCTGCTGAAGCCCAGCGCCTCTGGCTGGAAGCCAACGAAGACCTCGAGGCCGGGTCATGAAGATTTAGGAGGTGCAGCATTCTGCATAGCATTCTGCATAGCATTCTGCATAGCATTCTGCATCATCCCCGGAATTATTTCCTTTCTGGTGTCCCGACTGGAAGGTTCGTGAGCGCCGACTCCAGCGCGAAAGGGCCATGCGGGCCATGCGCGAGGAACGTGAATCCCTGCGCCAGGCTCGCGGAGTTGAATGATGTCCAGGGGCGGTTTGCTTCAGTTTATTTTTTTCATCGACAATGCAGGGTATCGAGAAAATTATCGCACATGTTTTGCTGCGGACAGCTTGAAGTTTGAGGCCCTGGCAGCTTGGCAGTACTTTTAAAAGAAGTGCCCGGGGCTCAAGGGTCAGGGCTTTGAGATTCGGGCCTGTGGCCGCTCGACGGTCCTGCCAGGAGCAGCAGAGGGCGCAAGAAGCGCTACAGGCGGCGGAACAGCTGAGGCGATACCCATGTAATCGGCCTTGGAGAGAAGAATAGAGAAGATGCTTCGTTCGATGCGAAGGTTTTGTCCCAACCCTAGACCATAGACCATAGATTCATCAAAGCGGGCGCGAGTGGTTCAGTATTACAGCAAGATGGCCACAACGTGACGTAGACATGGCAAACGTGCGAACTTATCAAAGAGTCCAGTGCCCAGAAACCTTGCAAAAATCATGCCATGCCAGGATTCAAGGCTACGATGCGTTTCGGCAGGGTCAGCTCCCTGGCAACGCTGCAGCAAAGCAGGACCTCTTTCTGGAGGCCTGCAAAGAGTAGGCTGTTTTGCGGGGTAGGTTGGGCATGGAGATTTCTGAAGAGATTCTACATGCGGCTCCCTTTTCTTTTGCGAGTCAATAGTGCTAGTTCAGGAAATTTACGTTTCTCGTTGGCCATAACCAGGGGGGGTTTAGCAGTACAACGGTTCAGAGCCATGCGTGCTGAAAGTACCACACCTGCCACATGAAACGAGGTTTTGCTAATTCACTGTGGGCGCCCACAGCCCCCACTTGCCCCACGGAAGAGCTAATCGACGTTGTCCACTTGGTGGCCACTCCCACTTGCCCCACTTGCCCCCACACCCCCTACCCCCTACCCCCAAGGGCACGTGCCCCCCCCCCCCCTCCTCACCCAACCCTCCGTCCTGTCTCGCCTGACTGGATCTTGGAGGGGGGCGGGAGGGCAGTAGTGGGGTTAGTGGGGCCAGTGCGGCCAGTCGGGGCAGTGTGGCCAGTGGGCGAGTGGGCAAGTGCGGGGCAAGTGGCAGAAAACACTTAGCGGTGCAGGTTGCGCGCCCACTGGTTTCATGTCTGGAATCGCCTTCAACTTGAGTTTTGGCCTTGTCGCGCATGGTGAGGGTTTTGGGTGCAAAGCAGAATGTCGAAATCCATTCCGGGACATGAAAACCCTACTAGAGAAAGCGGATTGCATTGAGGATGCCGGGTGTAGTGCCAAATGGTTCCTGGGCCTTGAACTCTAAACCGTCAACTTTCTGCAAGGGGGCTGTTTGATGGGTTTTGGGATAGAGGTTTCAGGGCTCAGGGCTACAGGGGTTCCATGGCACCAAAACCTAGACCGGAACCTTCTCTCAAAGAACCAGGGTCGCGAGCAAAGAAACACTCCACACGCAGCATCCTGCCCGTTGCTCCAAGCCACACGTACTCGGGTACGAGGTCGCATAGCACAGAGCATTCCACAAACATGGTACCCAGAGGTCCCGCGGTCGAATCGTTGGATTCCCATAGCTTGCGTGTTATTTGAATCGGTTGTATCCCGTCTATCCCCGGCTTGCCTGAGGCACATCCACCTGAACTATCCCCGTCAGACGATTCCTGTAGCAGCTGAGCAAAAGCACGTGGTCAGGCCATGGAACGCTATGCCGAGGCCATCGGCATGCTTTCAAGGCCCCGACCTTGGTCTAACCCTCTGCCTGCTGGCCTTCCCTCTCCATCCTTTCCATCCTCTCCATCCCCCCTCACTGGACTGGACTCCAGAGGTGCCTTGAGACGGGACTGGCGCAGGTGCCCTATCTGGTGCCTTGCCAAAGGGTATGGGAAGTGTGGAGGAGCCCTTCATTGTTGGGGTTTGAACATGTTTGAACGCTCTGAATTCTTTGCGTTGAGGGTCGAGGGGTCAGAATCATGGCCCGAACCGTCGCGATGCTCTCACCTCACATTTCGGGAATTGCCCTCCCAACTTGGCTTCGCTAGGTGCAAATGCAACGGTTCCACAGCAAAATCTGCCGAGGCTGCTGAGGTGACCCGTCAGCGAGCGCTGCTGCTGTCCCACGCCGCGCAGGTTCGTTGGGCGTGTGTGTCAAAACAAGAAAGAGAAACAAAGAACGAATGCAAAATGGTATCATTCTCATCTAGATCTAAATCCAGAAGCATAAATATTAAGATTCATATGCGCATGTAGATGTACATATGAATCAGAATCTAAGTATACATATTCCTATATAAATATATAGCAAGAGGGGCCTGTTGCTGCATGTACCATGTGACCGGGTCGGGTTTTCGCAAAGGAGGTTGATAAGGATGATAGTGTGGTCTGCGCAGCTCTCATGCACGACGAGTTTTCGATTGGTGTCGGGTGCGACAGGGCAGCATTTCCTGGCTCCCCCCCCCACTTGTCAGGTCGAGCTTTCCTGCCAGCGTTGGGCGCAGGCAGCTGCGTTGGCAACTGCCGCCCTGGAGGAGCGCGCGGGTTGTTGGGATTTGCGTGCAGGCCTCAACGCCCCGGAGTCCTTCTGCGTGTTTTTTGCAAGGATTAGGGAAAGCTGCCGCCCCTTGCAGCACTTGGGGTTTTTGCAAACGAGTTTCCGAGCAATCTCTGTGGTGACAAGGCAACCATGAACTAGTTGGTCGTAGGTACGAAGCTCGGCGTGGTCTGTGGATGCTTGATGTGAGCATGAAGTCTTCACTTCGGGTGGAGTGTTGCAAATCATCGTGTGGGCATGGCTTGCCCGTGTCGTACACGGTATGATGCACAACGCAATCTACCCCAGAGCACGAGGGTGACGGTGGATGACGGTGGATGTAAAGGACCAGCTGTCAGCGAAGACGATCTTGCGTGTATTGCAACACCTTGTAGGGCAAATAGGCCGCGCATGTCATCACGACCGGAAGAATACCAAAATAATACAACTATCGGGGAACCCAGTCGCATTAGCGTCAGCCACACCAGTTTGAGTGAAGACCGGCAGCATGCTGTCATGCACTTGAGTGTGGCACAGCTAACGACCAATTCCGACACCCAAAGCATCAGCCAGAGGAGCAGGGCATGCGGCAAAGAGCCGTTGAAGCAGTCAACCTCCGATGCAAGCCCTCGGAGTTTCAACAGACAAGCGGACAGGCGCATATCAACGCACGCATGTGAATCGTACCTGTTGAATAGGTCTAAGGAACGGATCTCGAAAAGTCTCGGCAGGATGACCCGGCATCCTTGACTTCGCAGCACTGCCTGGCCATAGCCTGGCTGGGAATGGCCGTCTGAAGCGAGGCCTGCGGTTCATGAAGTTCAGGGTTGAGGGTTTAAGGTTCAGCTTGGGGTTCGGGGAGTAGGAGCACAAGATGGCTGTACAACCTTGTGGAACCAATAAATTGTTCCCAGATCATGCACATTGATTTGCGATTGACATCTATGGGCCATATTTGCGTGAACCCCCATAGCAGCGATGTAACCAGGTCAGCGCAGACGGTCGTGCAGCATACGGCATGCGCCGAGAAAAGCAAGGCGAGCACAGCGGGATTTAGATCGGGCTGTGTAACCATGTCATGCTAAAACATGTGCCGAAGTGCAGACCTATCATTGGCAAGCGACACGGTCCATAAACCCTACACCCTAAACCCTAAGGTCAAATAATGTACGCCTGTGTTGGATTTCGTCGCGAGTTTGATATTTCTGACGGTTTTGATGGTGGCTTCCGAAACAAACTGACAAGGACAGGGATGCTTTTCCATGGGTTTGCAGTTGCATCCAGTTTTTCAGGTTTGTTTAGGCAGCCTCGGGTTCTCTCTTGCTAACCCAGATGCTGTGCAAGTTGCCCTGCAACTCGGATTTGGACTTGCTGGGTGCATCAAGCAAAGCAGCGCAGACATCAACAAAGCATGTGCAGAGAATCCAGCTGATCACGTCGGTCTACGAAAATCCCATTTCATCACCTGTCGGGGGGCCATCAACTTGATAAAAAGCCCGACGCCCATAGCCCAAACCCTAAACTTAAACCATATAGCGGCATGAGCCACGTTGGTGCCATTGCCAATGCAGCCAAATCTGCAGACCAGGAGCCGCCAGCCGCACCTTAGACAGTTTAGGGTGTTCGGTTTAGCAATTAGGACTACATAAAGCTTCGAAGGATGGGCTCTAATGTCCGCCGGATGCTGTCATGACATGTTCTTGATGTGAGACTTGCTGAAAAAGCTGAGACCCAAGGAGGTCGACAAAGCCCTCTAGCTGTTGTTCGAGGAGTGCACGCCGGCCAACCCAGAACAAGGAATTTGAAGGAATTGGATTCCGAGAACAAGATTAAGTGAACAAGGTTTAGGCCATACACTCTTCAGGGCTGAGGGATTAAAGGACCAAGATTTAGGGATCACTCTTCAGGGTTTAGTGAAAAGATGCCTTTCAGGTTTTTTACGGACCCTCGATTCAGGATTTAGAGACCCCCTCTTAGATTGTAGGAATAGGATAAGAGCAGGAATATGATGAAGCGAGTAAGAATTTTAGAATGTTTAGGTCCAAGTGAAAGGAGTCTTTGAAATTTTAAACAATCAAATCCGCGCCTTTTATGATTTAGGGAGGGCAGGCCTCCCCCGCCCCCCTCTACCCCCCATCCCCTGCCCTCCCCCGCCCCCCCCCACCCCCGCCCCCTTCCCCACTTTCCAAGCAAGAGAAAGTACGAGTACGACAGCTCATTTAAACGGTAAAAGCCGAACATTAGAAAGAAATAAGAAGGAGAATGTTGGAAGACACATAAATCATACCGTGATAAACGAATTCCATATACGATGCCACGAATCAGACCATGATAGAAACCAAGAGGGACAGACATGACTGAGGCTAAGACCTCTGCAAACAGGGGGCCTAAACCCTAAAACCAACAAAAGGGGGCCATGCGACGCGGCGAAGCCCACAAGCACCCCTGAAGCCTAAACCCTGAATTCCTGAATTCCTCAATGGGCCCCGGAAGCCCTGCACTTTAGGGCTTCTGAGGTTTGGCTCTGCCACCGCAGCCTCCTGCTTTTCTTGGGCCGCACGGCACGCCTGCAACGAGCTGCCCAGCTCCGGCAGGGGAAGGGGGGGGTCTACTTGGCAATTCAGGGGGTGTAGGGTTTGGAGCATTGGGGTTGTTGGTGTAGGCGCACGAAACGCCACAAGATCCAAAGACTTCAGGTTCTTGGGCTTGAGGCTTGAGGGGTATGAGTGATCTGAGCAGTCGGAGTTGGTGTGACGGTATCACACCTCCCCCCCCACCCACCTTCCAAGAAAACCCATGGCTAACAACCCCAGAACCTAGCAAAACCTGCCTGCCCACACAATAAAACTCTAAACGTCTCAAGAATAGCAAACAACCACGTCAACCCACAGGACCCAACTACTTACACTTACACATCCTAGATGCCAGCGCAAGCACACAAAGGCCCAGGCTTCTGGTGAGAAATGGCGTGGTTGTTGGGTTGAGGGTTGTTGGGAAACGGGACTCCGGCAGCGGTCCCCCACTCCTCCTCTTTGCGGATGTAGAAAGGTGCAGAAAGGCTTCGGACGGAGAGGGTGTGCCTCAGGACATGTTTTCGACCATCCCAAAATGCTGAGGGATCATGGAGGGCTTTGACAAAGGCCCCCAGCCTCATTCAGGGGAGGACCCAGAAGGATGTGCGAGGCGTTTCGGATTCTTCTCAGCATCCAAGGTGAAGCGATTAAGCCATCGGAAGATCGGAAGACGGCATGTTGGTTGTGAAATTACTACGTCGGCAAATTGAATTCTGCACAGGCAAGCCCCTCAACCTTATTCGCCACACCCCCCCCCCGCCCCAAACAAAAAGGAAAACAGAACAAATGACACCTTGCCCCGACCCTAAACCCTAAACTCTAATCCTTAAACCAAGAATCCTTAGGCTACTGCAGCATGCCACCATGCTGCTAGCCCTTCAGATGTCCCTTGGCCATGCCTCGGCCGTGTGCTCAGACGGATTCTGCCGGGTTGGAGACCTCAAACCCTTAGTAGATCTAAAATCCTAAATTGCCCCATAGGCGTGGAACCCCCATAGCCCTACAAACCCAAAACCGTGAACCCAAACTCCTAGGTTTGAGGTTCAGAGTTTAGGGCTGAGGATTTGGGATTCGGGGTGAGGCGCGCTGTCCAGGGGCGCAGGAAGCAGATAAAAAGATTGTTGCTTTTATATACATCGCTTCAGGAACCCGGGCTACCTCGAAATGTTTTCACATTGTGGGAAGATCTCGGTTCAGTGCAGGACAGCGAAGTAGCACAGAATCTCAAACTGGTTTCTAGAAAAGCCATGAGAAATCTCACGTCAGACAGCAACAAAATTTCGTAACTTCAAATACATTTGACATGATAACGTTTAGTAGAGAATCTGCAGGACGACCTATGCAACGAAAACCGACAACTCAGATCTCCACGGCATTTTGGCAAAAGGGACTCCCCGGTGGTAAAGGCCGGCGAGACACTGGAGCTCAGTCAATTAATGCCAGAGGCGGTTTCTTATGAACAAATTCCGGGTGGCCAGGATGCAGCTTGGATGCCATTGGTGGTGTAGTTGTGCATACATTTTGTTGCATGCGTAGGTGTCGTGTCGCGTTTTGCCATTTTGATTTCACTGGCGCAATCGTCCGCTGCGTAGTCTGTGCGCAATACGAAGGTCAAGCCCTCAGCAAGCAGCAGATGTGGGCTTCTTTGCTGTGCTGCATGCGTCATTATTTTGGTCGTGATACTCGTCCTGATTTGGCCGGCAGTGTGGTGGCAGCTGACAGAGAGCAATCCTCCGAAGAACTTGCGACCCAAGCTTGTGAGCTTTTTTGAAATCGAGAATTTGACAGCTAACATGCCACCAGCACCTTCCAACTACCCGGATGTGCTGCGTGGGTACATCTGGATGGATCAAGCAGGGTACTATGGTGCTTCACAAGTGCCGTCAGCATCTCCCGACCTTGTCTTGTCATTTGGTGATCCGCTGCATCCACTTGACACAACCACACGATCCATTCGGGTGAATACCACTGGCCCTTGCTGGTCTTGGGCCAACAATGCCCGGGCATACTTGCACGTGGCCACTGACAGGGCGTCCAATTTCACGTACAAGTTCATGTGGGACGAGTCGTTTTCTTCGGCAGTCATTTATTCCTGTACCAGCACGAATGGCCACGAATCATGCAGATTGAATCATGGCAATGGCCTCCTGCAGCTGAAGCTTTTGATCATTCGACAGTCGCCAGCGAAAGACATGTGCCCACCGGCCCCCAGAGCAACCAAGGCAGATCGCGCGTCGTGTGCAAAGTTTGTCCGGGTTACTCGACTGTTGTTCCCGGGCACATCCTGGACAATCCCCTTCCTGCAGTTCAACTACTATGTGTTCCAAATAGCAGGTGACGATGGGACGCCTGTAGAACCATACTTTACTGCCTATGTGGATTTTGCCAAATCCCAATGCCAGCCGGCTGCTGCAAGTGCGCAAGGCTATGGAATCAACTGTGAAGGCGAGTGCTTGAAGAATTCTTCTGCCTTCATTGCGGTACGGCCGGGACAATGAACTTGCTGCTCGAAAGTTGATGAACGTGACATGTGCAAGTTGACCAACCTAAGCCCACGAAGAGCGTTCCCAGGTTCAGCCTAGCGGCCGCATCCAGTGGAGCCTGACCAGAGGGATGTGAGAGGTGCTTCGGATTCTCAGCATCCAAGATGAAGCGATGAAGTAATGGGAACATGGCATGTTGGTGGTGAAGTTTCTACGTCGGCGAAGAAAAGTTCTGCGCAACACCGCAAGCCCCTGAACCTTATTCCCTGCCCCCCCCCCCCCTCCCCCTCCTCCCCCCCAAAACAAAGTGACACCGCGCCCGCACCCCAAATGCTAACCTCTTAACTCTAAACCCTACTCCCAGAACCCCCAGGCGAAAGCAGCATGCCACCATGCTGCTGCCCTCTCAGATGTCCCGGGGCGACGTCTGCCGTGTTCTCAGATGGATTCTTCCGGGTCGGAGACCTTCAACCCTTGGTGACCTGTAGATTTCGGGTTGGGCGCGCTCTTCAGGAAGCTGGCAGCGCGATGAATCCAGTGAGGGTGCTGTTTGACGATGCTGCTGCCAGGGTGCTTGCCAGGGTGCTTGGCAGGGTGCTGTTCTACATTCCTAAACTAAACCCTAAACCATCCAAAAGCCTATACCCTCAACCCTAAAACCCCAAGACCCTAAACCGTAACCCTTAACCCCCCACAGGTGGATGCTGCAGCCCAGATCAAGGCTCGGTATCCAGAATCTGGTCGTGGCCGAACAGCTGCGGAGAGCAACAATGGGTTTAGGGTTTAGAGGTTAGGGGATTTAGGGTTTAGGGTTCAGGGCTTAGGGTTTAGGGGTTGGGGTACGGACAGCAACTCGAATGTAATTTGCAGGGTAAATCTGCGAGGTGGTCGGGGACTCGTTTCTTGCCAAACGAGGCAAGATCATCATTCAGAGTTTTGCAGAATCCCCTGACAAGGCCAACCTTGTAATAAGAGTAGGGGGACTGAGGCAACCAGTCACCGCAGTGCAAGGCTGTAACTTGTCTTTGACCGTATGAAGAATACTGATTCGTAGATTCCGCTGTGCATATCGGAGCCATGGAACGAGACGCATTCATCAATCTGCTGGACAAGTGTTGGAATGACTTTCGACAGCAGGCAATAGCGGCCTACCCAGGAGAAGCCGCAAGTACCTGGCCACGATTAACGAATGTAAGAGTACTTCGAATATGCAAGCCTTAAGCTATCAAGAGAAGCTTGTGTTTTACTTGCTCTCCCAGGTGCTAAGGGAGCGCCTTCGGCCCGAGGCATGGAGGAACTCATTTTGTGGGCTCATCTGAAAGATGTGCCTGAAGCTGCGCCGCGCTCCTCGCTGAAAGAGACGAACAGAATGAAATATCTGGTGCAAGACCAGCGGCTGCGGATTCGCTTGGGACTTCAACCGCACCAGAAGCTGATCTCTGGTGAGTCTCTTCATGCTGCGGTGCTGGCACTGGGTCTGTCACTGGGTTCTGGAGTACCATACTTGAACGCTAATTCTTGGACCTGTTCCTTAAACGAACCATTACGAAGTATGAGCCTATACTTTGTCTGGTTACTTCAAAGTCCAGGTCAAGCTACAGTGTGGAGGACATGAACGATCTGGCTCATGCATTGGCAGCACATGTTGGGCTTCATTTCAAGGAGTTGAGCACGGATTCCGTCCGGAGAATTCAATCTGGGGAGAAACTGGGCTCTTGTTAAAAGTTACAACAATAAGGAAACCGTATGAGTTACTATAGATCCCTAGTCTAGCAACTTGAATAGAGTTCCTTGAAGTCCTGAACAAGAGCCCAGGAAAGCTGAACTTCTTGGCCTAGAGCCTGTCTGGCGATGGTCGAGTGCCAGCGCCGCTAGATGCGCAGCTTCCGAGGAACATCGCCCTCTCGGTTTACGTTCTGACAGACCTTTTATACACTGGGAGCTTCATGAATCATAGGACTTAATAAGTCATAGTTTTTCGGTTATGAGTATACTTGTCATCACTTGTAATCCAAATTAAGGTACGCGCAATGTTGTGCCTGCTCAAGCTTTGCTCGAGCTGCTGTTGGCAGATGATGGACAAGCCGACAAGACAGTTTTCAAACAGCACTTCTTGCTCAGACAGTTCCAGAGCATGCGGGAGATTCTTTTGGCAAGTGATGCCAACCAGCTGGTTGCCGATTTGAGTGTTGTTCGGATCAATGACCTGGCTGCCCCTCCCGAGCCCTGGCATCCGTTGACGTATTTCGAGCCCTTCGTCGCGAGTGTTCTTGTTTCCGATGGCATCATGTTAGCATTCCAGCTTGATCCTTCATTTTCCAGCTGGCATGGTTGGATCTATTTCGAAGCAACATTTACGGTTCTCTTCATCGTAGAAATTCTACTTCGGATCCACTTGCTGCGATGCCGCGCGTACTGGTGCGGGTCAGACAGCGTTTGGAACTGGTTTGATATTCTCCTTGCAGTGACTTCAGTAGCAAGCCTCTTCATTCCACTTGGATCTTCCGCGCTTCTGAGAATCATCCGTCTCTTTCGGTTGACCAGGGTTGTAAAGGACCTGAGGTTGAAAGTACTGAAGGAGCTTCGTCTGATGATCAAAGGCTGGTTTGCTGGATTGCGAACTATAGCGATAGCATTCATTCTTCTGTTCCTGGGCTCTTGTTAAGGAACCTGATTTAAGTTACTATAATCGGGATCTACCGTATAAAATACGATTCCTTAGAATCCTTATTATGGAAACTTAAACATCAACTCCTTGGCAAGAACCTAGGTTCTATGCACTCTACATCATCTCGGCTATGGCGACCGCCACTCTTGGAGGCTCACACCCAGTACTTTTCGGTACCGTGCCTGTCTCCATGTTCACAGCTTTCAGGTGCTTTACTGGTGATTGCTCGGATAAAGAGGGTCTTCCCTTGACGTTGCTGCTGGCAGAAGAATTCGGCCACCTTTTTCTTCTCGCCTATGTTGTGAGCTACGTGCTGGTGGCCATGGGAATCTTCAACGTGATCTTGGCTGTTCCTTGCTTGCTGAGCTGGAGTCTGTTTTCTTTCGACAGGCTTTATCGCGGCTTGCCATAGTTTTTTCTTTGCGTTGTTTCAGAGAGCAGGTTTACGTTGACATAACCATGAAGGCGGCAAAAGGTATCAATGCCAAAAGCCCTGAGCAGTACGCTCTTGAATCGGTCCGTGTTGCTCGCTGCGCGCGTGAGCTGCTCAAAAAGTTCGTGACAGCATACCAAGACTTTATGGGCAGCGATGTCACCGACACCGTGCAAGAGCACGTCCAAATTACAAAGGAATTGTTCCAAATCATCATACGGGACAGAACCGTGCAGAAGCTCATGGATGAGCTGGATTTGCCGCCGAATCGCACTGACTTGTTCGGGGTCATTGATGCAGACGGGAGTGGGGCGCTTGATGCGCAGGAGCTGGTGCATGGCATACTGAGTCTCCGCGGCGAACTGACAAAGAGCGACGTTGTTGCTACTCTGCTGGCCGCAAAATCCATGCACAACATGTTCATGCAGATGAAAAAGGAGTGTTTGCAGACACTGGCGACGATGCCACAGACATGTCGGGATGCGCTCCGCAAGCAGGGCAACTGCAGACCTGATACACGCCTGGGTCAGGAGCCAGCGCAGGAAGACCCCAACTATGAATCCCAATTGGACGTGTATACCTTCTAGAAGCTTGGATGGCATTTGAGGTGACTGGCTGCGAACAAGCGCTCCGCACGTGAACTACGATGATGCCGGTAGTAGTGGACCCAGGTCTGTACTCTGCAATTTTCCGTGAAAGTCTGAAAGACTCTCGACAGGGCTCACTCTGCGCAACTACCCTATACTTTACATTTGCTCCTAAATACACCCATCAAGCTAGATAAACTACCCCAAACCTTGTGCGGGAATTTAGGCCTGACCCCATGAGAATCTCTGTTTGGTGGATGGGTGGCTTTCCTCTTCTGGGTGCCCAGAAATGAATGGGGGCATAGATTGCGGGACGTTCTGTTGGGGGTTACTACCTGACGTTGTAAAGTCTCCATCCCTTTTAGAGGTATGTTGGGTTGTATGCTAACCCCTAAACCCTCAACCCAAACCCTAAACCATTAATTTGTTTTGGGGTTACTGTTACGCATCCCTAATGAGTACTGCATATCCCAAGCAAGAAATTCCAGGGCTCAGTCTCCGAGCCCTTCATTCTGCACAAATTGCATTAAGAGTCGAAGGTTTAGGGTTTTGGGTTGAGGGCTTTGGGGTTTCGGGGTTTGTGGGGGTTAAGGGTTTCAGGTTTAGGGTTAATGAACTGCAACGCAAGCCGTCCCCGCCAAGCAGTGTTGTGCGAGGGCGGAGCACAGACTGGTGCCAGTGGTCAGTTTTTTTGCGCCACCCAGATTGATTGGACTAGTCGCCCAGGCCCCAAGACTCTTTGGGCGGAGTGTACTCTCACAGAAGCTAAGCAGCGTTTAGATCTACATTCGTTTCTCCTTCCTTCCCGTGTACACATCCAGAACAACTTCTATGCGGTTCCTACCTCTCAAGAAGAATCACACAATCCCACTCCAACACCTCACCAACGTATGTGGCAACCGTGCAGGCTGGGGCGAGCGGAGCTGGCAGTCGTTGATGTCGACGAAAAGGCGCGGTTGCTGCCATCTGTTGCGTTCTTTGCTGCCATCTGTTGCGTTCTTTACTCCAGGATGTTGTGGGAGACGTACAGATTGCGGCAACCGTGCAGGCTTTCGCAAGCGGAGCTGGCAGGAGATGTCGATGAAAAGGCGCGGTTGCTGTGCCATCTGTTGCATTCTTCACTCCAGGATGTTGCGGGAGACGCACAGATTGCGGCAACCGTGCAGGCTGGGGCGAGCGGAGCTGGCAGTCGATGTCGATGAAAAGGCGCGGTTGCTGCCATCTGTTGCATTCTTCACTCCAGGATGTTGTGGGAGACGCACAGATTGCGGCAACCGTGCAGGCTGGGGCGAGCGGAGCTGGCAGTCGATGTCGATGAAGAGGCGCGGTTGCTGCCATCTGTTGCGTTCTTCACTCCAGGATGTGGTGAGAAAGGCACAGATTGCGGCAACCGTGCAGGCTGGGGCGAGCGGAGCTGGCAGTCGATGTCGATGAAAAGGCGCGGTTGCTGTCATCTGTTGCATTCTTCACTCCAGTGTTGTGAGAGACGCACAGATTGCGGCAACCGTGCAGGCTGGGGCGAGCGGAGCTGGCAGTCGATGTAGATGAAAAGGCGCGGTTGCTGCCATCTGTTGCATTCTTCACTCCAGGATGTTGTGAGAGACGCACAGATTGCGGCAACCGTGCAGGCTGGGGCGAGCGGAGCTGGCAGTCGATGTCGATGAAAAGGCGCGGTTGCTGCCATCTGTTGCGTTCTTTACTCCAGGATGTTGTGAGAGACGCACAGATTGCGGCAACCGTGCAGGCTGGGGCGAGCGGAGCTGGCAGTCGATGTCGATGAAAAGGCGCGGTTGCTGCCATCTGTTGCATTCTTCACTCCAGGATGTTGTGAGAGACGCACAGATTGCGGCAACCGTGCAGGCTGGGGCGAGCGGAGCTGGCAGTCGATGTCGATGAAAAGGCGCGGTTGCTGCCATCTGTTGCGTTCTTCACTCCAGGATGTTGTGAGAGACGCACAGATTGCGGCAACCGTGCAGGCTGGGGCGAGCGGAGCTGGCAGTCGATGTCGATGAAAAGGCGCGGTTGCTGCCATCTGTTGCGTTCTTCACTCCAGGATGTTCGGGAGAGACGCACAGATCGCGCAACCGTGCAGGCTGGGGCGAGCGGAGCTGGCAGTCGATGTAGATGAAAAGGCGCGGTTGCTGCCATCTGTTGCATTCTTCACTCCAGGATGTTGTGAGAGACGCACAGATTGCGGCAACCGTGCAGGCTGGGGCGAGCGGAGCTGGCAGTCGATGTCGATGAAAAGGCGCGGTTGCTGCCATCTGTTGCGTTCTTCACTCCAGGATGTTGTGGGAGACGCACAGATTGCGGCAACCGTGCAGGCTGGGGCGAGCGGAGCTGGCAGTCGATGTCGACGAAAAGGCGCGGTTGCTGCCATCTGTTGCGTTCTTCACTCCAGTATTTTCGTGAGAGACGCACAGATTGCGGCAACCGTGCAGGCTGGGGCGAGCGGAGCTGGCAGTCGATGTCGATGAAAAGGCGCGGTTGCTGCCATCTGTTGCATTCTTCACTCCAGGATGTTGTGAGAGACGCACAGATTGCGGCAACCGTGCAGGCTGGGGCGAGCGGAGCTGGCAGTCGATGTCGATGAAAAGGCGCGGTTGCTGCCATCTGTTGCGTTCTTTACTCCAGGATGTTGTGAGAGACGCACAGATTGCGGCAACCGTGCAGGCTGGGGCGAGCGGAGCTGGCAGTCGATGTCGATGAAAAGGCGCGGTTGCTGCCATCTGTTGCGTTCTTTACTCCAGGATGTTGTGGGAGATGCACAGATTGCGGCAACCGTGCAGGCTGGGGCGAGCGGAGCTGGCAGTCGATGTCGATGAAAAGGCGCGGTTGCTGCCATCTGTTGCGTTCTTCACTCCAGGATGTTGTGAGAGACGCACAGATTGCGGCAACCGTGCAGGCTCACGCGGGCAGGTGGCGAGAGGTCGTCATGGAGCTGGTTTGGAGGCAAGATGTGAAGTGCAGTTGCTGATAGCTTTCCACTTTTCCGAACATGCTCAGGCTTAAGGGCGAACGTTTCTAACGTTTATGTTTTATTCCTTCAGGGCGGCTCGCAGCAGACTTTGGAGTCTTGGCGCAGCTATCATGGCGCTGCGGCAGCTGCGCCTACGAAATGTGGTGAGTGGAGGTTCTGTAGCCGAGCTTGAGGTGTTGTCTTCCTGGGGTCCAATGGAGGTTGCTGTTGCCGTGGCCGAAAGGACAGGGCACAACGACTTCAAGCTGTTGCAGGGAGGTCGCTGCTTCTTTCCAAGCTCCGTGACGGAACTGGGCGAGTTTGCAGGGGAAGGGGACACTGGGGGCACCATCGACATGGAGATCCTGGTGCAGGACGTGCCCACTTTGCGGATCACTGGCATTCCCTGCGATACCCTCTTTGGCGGCCACGGGCCCGCCGTCGGCTCTACGGCGGGCTCTCCGACTTTGCAGGAACTCAACGGTGATTGGCTGCCTGTTCCACTCCTCCGCGTGCGGGGGCATCCGATTTGGAGGAAGTCGACGGCCTTGCGAAACCAGTGGCAGGACCGCGGGATGCCAGCCGACGACGGGGTGCGCTACATCGTCCTGGGCGGAGATGGGGTCTTGGACATTGCGTGGCTGCCCGCTGGGGAGGTGCCGAGGGAGCACAGCTTCCCTCACCAGTCATCTCGCCACGGGTTCCTCTCAGGTGTCCACTTCAAGGAGGTCTCGCCCCTGACTTGCTGGGAGAAAGATGGCCTGCCCTGCAAAGCCAAAGTGAGTTTGGCTATCAAGCCCTCTCGGTCCTTCCCGCACGCGCGTGTGCACTCCTGGAGGGTTGGTGAGAATGTTGTGGCAGGCGAAGCAGAGCTCGTGAGGCGAGAGCATGTGCCATAGCCGGCTGCTTTATGCTGCTTTGACTGCTTTGCCATGTCGGAAGTGATGGAAATGCCACAGCTGGGAAAGAAGTGGGCAAAGTGGTAGTGTTGTTAAGACTGCAAGGGCTTTGCGGAGGCTTTCCTGCCCCGGTCACCGGAGTTACCAGTCTATGAGGGGAAGCATGCTAGTCGCAGTATGTTCCCGGGAAGCACTAGTGGCATGATGCAGTCGGTGGTACTAGTAGCATGCAATCAGAAGGAGTGCTGTGGTTCCACTGTGACCCTGAGTCCCATCTCACACAAGCTGAGGTCACACGTCTGAGTGTCCCATTCACAAACCCGTCCCAGTACGTTTTTTGCTGCAAATACGGCCAGACGTGAGCTTCTTGAACAGGAGAACATGCGAGAACAGGCTGCATCGCGTCGATGCCGCTCCACTCTAGCCTTGTCTTCTGTCAAGTTCAATCATGTAAGAAGCCATGTTTTGCTCCTTCCGTCTTCTCCATGCCCTCGCCCTCACGCTGATTCTTCCGGCGCACGGCATCCGTGTGGAGCAGGAGGCAAGGCCGAGCACGCCGAGTTGGAGCAACACTTCATCCGAGGAGCTCCAGTTGATGCTGCTGGAGCAGTTGGGGGCCTTGAAAGCCTCCGAGACACGGGGCTCAAGAGACGCCGAGTCTTTAAAGGCGCTGATCACAAAAGTCCGGGTGGCCTGGGCGGAGGGAGATGCTTCAGGCTGCTTCCAGCAGCTTGGGAGCATGATGGCCAACCTGACAGTTGCCTGCCAAGAACGGAACCCCACAGAGCATTTCGTCTTCCAGTTTTATAGGCCGTCGCTCCCAAAGAAGACATGTGAGGAGAGTGTGGACGATATCTTTGTCCATGGTCGTGCTTTAGTTGAGGCCATGCAAACCTCCAAGGAGGATCTGGCTTCTCTGACGCTAGACGCGAGTAAGGCTTCCACAGTCCAGGCGCTGTACTTCCTGCGGGCTTGGCTGACTCCGCTCGCCCGAACCCAGAGCTCCGCCCTGCTTTGGGCAGGGTTTTGGGACGCCGACCCCAGGAATCGTACCACCATCGAGAAGTTACATGAATTTGCCACTGCCACAGACCACGCGACCGTCCATCCGGACAGCTCGCTGGGGCAGGTGGGCCTGCGATGTTTTGTTCACGCTGATACAGATATTTGTTTGGCTGTATGTATGGGCTCATTTCGACCTTGTGCTTGATTAGGTCTATTCCGAGCAATTGAATTGTATGAATCATTCGTAAGAGTATCCTGGGCAAGCTATCTATCTGACAGATGCACCAGACTGAGAATTTAGCTGAAGAACTGGCACTAAGCAACAAAATTGATAGGTCAGTCAACAAACTCAAAAAGTACTGCGCGCAAGAAATGCATGCATGCATATATATATATATATATATATATATATATATATACACATACACATATATATATATAGGTATGCGCGGGCCGGCTTTGCAATGCCGAGAGTTGGCAGGGATCGTCGGTCCTGGAACACATGACACGATCCACCCTATATTAATAATTATTCAACAAGCGATTAAAAAACTAGTATAATGCAATAGAAAACAATGAAAAGAAGCAACTCAAACCCAGTGCCGCAGAAAATATGAAAAACAAGCAAAAAATGCAGCTGGAACGCAAACAAGCAGATCAGCCGAAAAACAAAAAAACAAAGAAAGTGCAAATCAAAACAAGGAGAAGAATCAACAGCTACCTAGTGAGCAGCTAGAGTGCTCAAATACCCACCGATAGCCGATAGCCACTGGTCGTATCTGGATTGCATTTTTTTGGCTTTTTGTACCCTCATTTCTTCCGCATTTTTCTTGCAGCATTGTTTTGCCTTGCATTTCAGGCCATCCAGGCCCCAAAAGTACCGCCAGCTCCAGCACCAGAGATCACAAAAAACCATTCTTTGCTTTCAACCTTAAAGATTGGCGTGGGATCAGCAAGTCTCAGGTCATCGACAGCAACGATGAGCTGAAGGATTGTTACAAGGAGGAGACGCGCCAGCTGCTGGCGAACATGTGGGCGATGGCCAGCATGAGCTTTGTGCTCAGCATGATGGAGAATGGACAAGGCACCGTCGTCGCGCTAGTGAACAAGGGCATGGAGGGCGAGCGGGCGCTTCACAAGGCCGTGCTTTATGAACACGAGATTCCCACACTGGGAGTGGCTGCATATGGACTCGGGTACTGGTCGCCCCAAGTCCTGGTTATCGACCTGCAGGGCACATGCTCGAAGACCAGCCCTGCTCTCCAGCTGCAGCTCGCCTCGCGCTTGGGTGCGTGGGCGACTTCCAAGCAGAAGAAGCATTGGCGTTTGCAGGACTTCGTGCGGCGATCGCACTTACACTGGCGATGCCTCGACTGCTCAGAAACCTGCAGTTTGGACGCTGCCTTGGCCAAGCAAGTGAAGCAGCTGGTGGAGGCCTTGGGGGCTTTCTTTGTACACATGTTGTTGTTTGAGCATGTTGCTTGTAGTTTTCAACTTTTTGTCGTGGCACTGGTGCAGGAGAAGCAGCTGAAGGACCGGAAGGGCCGAGAGCTCTTGCGGGCGGTGATGAACAAAAGCTTGAACGAGGTGCCGTCGTTCAGGTTTGTTCGAGCAGGGGGCTCAAGTTGTGGAGTGCTGAACCTGGGGAGAGCTTGTCTTTTTCGCGCTTGTGTATAAGCAATACAAGTAGCATGAATGGGCAGGCCTCGGCATGTTTCTGACACCTGGAGGTGCACTTGGAGCGGGAGGCGGAGTTGGATAATGAAAAGCACATGTTGCGGACGTTGCATGCGAGGCTGGAAAGAGAGCAGCGCCATGCGGATGATTGGAAGGCGCTGGAGTACTTCTCGACTCTCCGCAGGGAAACAACGTTTCTGCATTATCTGCAGTATCAGAACGGCCACAGCCGGCCTTCGGTGACGCCGCAGGTTCTGCTCGAGGAGAACGCAGACGTCAATACAGCAGACCGCGCCGGTCGCACAGTTCTTCGCGCAGCGGCCGAGGCGGGTCATGCGGAGGTGACCGCGCTCCTCCTGCAGCACCACGCAGACCCCAACCTCCCCGACGAGGGCGGCGACTTGCCCCTTCACAGGGCTGCGGATCATGGTGCTTCGGCTGTGGTAGCATTGCTCCTTGAGCATAGGGCGGAGGTGAATCCCTGCAATGAGCGAGAAGAGATGCCCCTGCACTATGCTGCCAGGCATGGTAGGCGTCAGGTCGCGGCATTGCTCCTGGAACACAAGGCTGAGGTGGATCCGCGCGACTTGCATGGCGAAACGCCCCTCCACGAGGCTGCCCGTTCTGGTCACGTGGAGGTTGCGATGCTGCTCCTTGACTACAAAGCTGCGGTAGATCACCGTGATGATCAGTTCGGCACAACGCCCCTTTATGGTGCTGCAGAAAATGGTTTCCCAGAGGTGGTTGCACTGCTTCTCGCTCATAAGGCTGGGATAAATGCCCGTGATGATCAGCTCGGAAGAACGTCCCTCTACATAGCTGCCGAACAGGGCTACTCGGAGGTAGTCGCCCTGCTTCTCGATCACAAAGCTGAAGTAGATTCCCGTGAGAAGCATGGCGGAACGCCGCTCAGTATTGCTGTAGATAAAGGTCACGCAGAGGTGGTTGCGCTGCTTCTCGATCATAAGGCCGAGGTGAATCAGCGACATGGCATTTTCGACAAAACGCCCCTCCACGTAGCTGCCCAACAGGGCTACTCGGAGGTAGTCGCACTGCTTCTCGATCACAAGGCTGGGGTGAACATCCTCGATGACCTCGGCAGCACGCCTTTCGATGAGGCGGCTGACTCAGTGAGGGGCCTGTTTCAGCAACACGGCGCGACACAACCCCGGAAGTCAATCGATGAGCCGGATTTTTAGCCATCGGCAAAGATCATCACCAAGAGCAAAAGGTGGACCTGCTGTGCTTTGAGAAGCTTATAGAGACACGAATGCAGTCTTCTGGCCCTGGGCCGTAGAGAGGAGACAGCGCTCCTTGTTTTCAGAACAGCCTTTTTTTTGGGAGGGCGTATGTGTGCAGGAGTCCCGAAGTCCTGAACCGACATCCGCGGTTCGATCTTGGCATGCTACTGTACCATACTGATGGTGACGACGATGGTGGCCAGGATGCGCCGATGATCATGCTGTGTGCTGTGGCCCATGGGTTGTCTGGACTTCGATGCCACGAAGAAGGCCATGCTCAAGTGATAGTTCACGCAAGTGCGAAGTATCTGCAGCAGCCCCAATTGGAATTGGAGAGAGCCAACTTAGTCGGCTCGGCTGTGCAGAGCAAGGTATGGAAAAAGGACGGGCTCTTCGGCGCCTGAACCCCAAACTGCATTGACGTGCGAAATCGTGTACTCCGCAAGATGAAGCACACAAGTGCTTTTTTGGGACTTAGAGTTCAATTAGACCTCGGGTGAGGTTCAGGAGTCTTCGGGATTTGGGGTTGAGGGCATTTGGAAACTTGAGAAAGATCACACTCTTGAGTTTGTGGGGTTTAGGGTTTAGGGAAGAACCTGGAAGCAGCATGCTTTGTGGGGCGTGTGCCAAAGTTTGATATTCCAGCCGAGTCTAGAACTCCTTCGCTTCCCGGTTTCACAAGGAACTTTGAGCGGTACTGTATTCGCGAGCCGGGAATATATGGCAGAGCCATGAGCCATATCACATCAGGCCCGATTGCAGCTGCATGTCGTCTTGTCCGAAGCTCAGCAGGTGAAACTGGGAGACAAGATGTCTCAAGATGCCTCTTGTCTGTCGGTGGAAAAGGAAAATGGAAACATGCAGGCTAGAAGTTCTGTCTTTTTCTTTAGAATGGAAAGTAGTCAGAATTCTCTTGTTTCCGCACGCTTGTCAAAGGGATCACGTACTTTTGTTTTGCTGCGTGTAAGGCCAGACGTGAGCTTCTTGAACAGGAGAACATGCGAGAACAGGCTGCGTCGCGTCGATGCCGCTCCACTCCAGCCTTGTCTTCTGTCAAGTTCAACCATGTAAGAAGCCATGTTTTGCTTCTTCCGTCTTCCCCATGCCCTCGCCCTCACGCTGATTCTTCCGGCGCACGGCATCCGTGTGGAGCAGGAGGCAAGGCCGAGCACGCCGAGTTGGAGCAACACTTCATCCGAGGAGCTCCAGTTGATGCTGCTGGAGCAGTTGGGGGCCTTGAAAGCCTCCGAGACACGGGGCTCAAGAGACGCCGAGTCTTTAAAGGCGCTGATCACAAGAGTCCGGGTGGCCTGGGCGGAGGGAGATGCTTCAGGCTGCTTCCAGCAGCTTGGGAGCATGATGGCCAACCTGACAGCTGCCTGCCAAGAACGGAACCCCACAGAGCATTTCGTCTTCCAGTTTTATAGGCCGTCGCTCCCAAAGAAGACGTGTGAGGAGAGTGTCGACGATATCTTTGTCCATGGTCGTGCTTTAGTTGAGGCCATGCAAACCTCCAAGGAGGATCTGGCTTCTCTGACGCTGGACGCGAGTAAGGCTTCCACGGTCCAGGCGCTGTACTTCCTGCGGGCTTGGCTGACTCCGCTCGCCCGAACCCAGAGCTCCGCCCTGCTTTGGGCAGGGTTCTGGGACGCCGACCCCAGGAATCGTACCACCATCGAGAAGTTACATGAATTTGCCACTGCCACAGACCACGCGACCGTCCATCCGGACAGCTGGCTGGGGCAGGTGGGCCTGCGATGTTTGTTCAACTTGACCTCGTGTATGCATGCATACACGCTGATACAGATGTTTGTCTGTCTGCATGCATGTGTTCATGTCGACGTTGTGCTTGACATTAGTTCTGCTCCCAGCAGTTTTATGAATCATTCGTAAGAGTATCCTGGGCAAGCTATCTATCTGACACATCTGACACATGCACCAGACTGAGAATTTAGCTGAAGAACTGCATTCATTGAGTAGCAAAATAGATAGGTCAGTCAACAGATTCAAAAAGTACTGCGAGCATGAAATGCATGCATACATGTATATATATATAGGTATGCGCGGGTCGGCTTTGCAATGCCGAGAGTTGGCAGGGAAGTAGACGTATTTGCGGGAGATAGACCGACTTTGTGTGGCGGTTACACTTATTCTTTGCTTTCAACCTTAAAGATTGGCATGGGATCAGCAAGTCTCAGGTCATCGACAGCAACGATGAGCTGAAGGATTGTTACAAGGAGGAGACGCGCCAGCTGCTGGCGAACATGTGGGCGATGGCCAGCATGAGCTTTGTGCTCAGCATGATGGAGAATGGACAAGGCACCGTCGTCGCGCTAGTGAACAAGGGCATGGAGGGCGAGCGGGCGCTTCACAAGGCCGTGCTTTATGAACACGAGATTCCGACACTGGGAGTGGCTGCATATGGACTCGGGTACTGGTCGCCCCAAGTCCTGGTTATCGACCTGCAGGGCACATGCTCGAAGACCAGCCCTGCTCTCCAGCTGCAGCTCGCCTCGCGCTTGGGTGCGTGGGCGACTTCCAAGCAGAAGAAGCATTGGCGTTTGCAGGACTTCGTGCGGCGATCGCACTTACACTGGCGATGCCTCGACTGCTCAGAAACCTGCAGTTTGGACGCTGCCTTGGCCAAGCAAGTGAAGCAGCTGGTGGAGGCCTTGGGGGCTTTCTTTGTACACATGTTGTTGTTTGAGCATGTTGCTTGTAGTTTTCAAATTTTTGTCGTGGCACTGGTGCAGGAGAAGCAGCTGAAGGACCGGAAGGGCCGAGAGCTCTTGCGGGCGGTGATGAACAAAAGCTTGAACGAGGTGCCGTCGTTCAGGGCCAGCTGCGCCTAAAGACGGTGCTGCGACGTAGTCCTTGCGTAACTCCCAGCTGCTCGTGATGATTGAATGAAGAAACCTCATTTGCCGAGGGCCAAGCCAGGTCTTAATGTATGAATGTTAGCTTCCCGGGCTTTTCGGGCCGAGCTATCTTGTATTGCCCGGAGGCGGAGTTGGAGAGGGAGGAGAAGCTCCACCTTGAAATGAAGATGGTGTGGATGTTGCATAGAAACCTAGCAAAGCGCGAGCGGTATGCCGATGAGCAGAAGGCAGAGGACTACTTCAACAGCCTCAATACCCATGCAACATTTCTCCATCCTCACCTATGGAGCCCTCGCAGCCGGCCTTTGGTGACGCCGCAGGATCTGCTCGAGGAGAACGCAGACGTCAATACAGCAGACCGCGCCGGTGGCACAGTTCTTCGCGCAGCGGCCGAGGCGGGTCATGCGGAGGTGGCGGCGCTCCTCCTGCAGCACCACGCAGACCCCAACCTCCCCGACGAGGGCGGCGACTTGCCCCTTCACAGGGCTGCGGATCATGGTGCTTCGGCTGTGGTAGCATTGCTCCTTGAGCATAGGGCGGAGGTGAATCCCTGCAATGAGCGAGAAGAGATGCCCCTGCACTATGCTGCCAGGCATGGTAGGCGTCAGGTCGCGGCATTGCTCCTGGAACACAAGGCTGAGGTGGATCCGCGCGACTTGCATGGCGAAACGCCCCTCCACGATGCTGTCGCTTGCACTTCTGGTCACGGGGAAGTTGCAGCGCTGCTCCTCGAATACAAAGCTGCGGTCGATTGTCCTGGTCGGGGCGGCGCAACGCCCCTCCACAGGGCTGCCGAAAGAGGTCATGTGGAAGTGGCGGCGCTGCTCATCGATCACAAGGCTGGGGTAAACGTTCGTGACCAGTCAGGCGACATGCCTCTTCATGAGGCCTCCTTCCGGGGTCGCGTGGAGGTGGTTGCGCTGCTCCTTGATGAGAGGGCTGAGGTAAGTCCCAGCAACGATCCGCTCATAGGCCAAACGCCCCTCTGCCTTGCTGCCGAAAGGGGTCACACGGAGGTGGTCGCGCTGCTTAAGCAGCACGGTGCGACACTACCCCCTTGGTGCCAACCTGTCGATGGGGGCTGAAGTGCTTCTCAATGGTCGCTTGGGGCGTTGAAGCCCTGGCAGAAATCCCGGGTCGTGTTGTTTTCGAGCTCCGGATTGTTTGCGGACTGTGGAGTGATGCAGGTCCATCGGCGACCGTATCACTCCGGGCAAGAGTGAACGTCGTCTCACGTGAGGTGCAGCCACGAAGCAGACACACAGAAAGTTCTCCATGTAGCAGCCGTGGGCTCTTCCCGAAGCCCCACATGAGTGCTCACCGTTGCAAAAAGGACCAGACCCTGAAATACCCTGGACCTTAAGTGCCATTGCCGCAGCCCCGAACCTTTAAGGCTGAACACTTCGGAAAGCCAGCTGCAACCAATACTACGACCACTTCTACCACTACAACCACTGCTTCAAGGTGTGACATTTTCTTCCTGAAACTCTTGATGCGAGCGGGAAAACATGTTTTCGTTTGTTTGCAAGAAAAAGGACAGATTGGTAGTCAGCAAAGGTTACGGGGGTGGACTTAAGATCCACTGCACGCAAGTGCGCGTCACTGCACGCAAGTGCGCGTGGGCTCGAACCCCACAGCTGACACGTGTTTTTGAAGGTCATATTTCAATCGCATAAGCAGTACTGCTCCTGTCAACACGTAGGCACAAAAGGACAAGGTGAGATGAAACACACTCACAGAACAACCGCAGTGAGAATTAAATGACCAGCCAGACGGCTTCATTTTCCACCATCCAACTTCCCTGCTTGTTTGCACTTCAGAAATCTGGGGTTTGTTCGTGCAGCAGCACGTCTCAACCGCTCATCATCAGTGCAACAGCTGTATACGTGATTGTTGCAGTCTTAGGTTTCACAAAGACGAGCACATCCTGTCTAACAGCATGCCTCTTCGCAAATTCAAGTTGAGCTGGCATACCAAAGGTGAGTGTCGACTGTACTTGCACAGGAGCACTTCTACAGTGATTCCGCTTGCACACGCAATAGTCTTCAGAACACCTTGCAATCATTGATGATGATTGAGTCCCATCCTCTCAGTGGAAATTGCTTCACTGTTTGATGAATGGGGAGAGGATGGGTAAGCTGAAGTGATTGCATACTGCGATGTTCTTTTGTCAAGGGTCTGACAACAGGCACACTGTGGACAATAACACAACTGAGGAAAAACAGCAACCGTTTTGCTACTTTTGATGCAAAAGCACAGCATGCGAATTTTTAATTTTACTTACTCTTCCCTTTGGGTGCTGCCTTGACGCCAGGACAGGAGGCAAAGAAGTGCGCTCCAATACGCTGAGGGCAGCAAATGCCCCGGTGTGCTCTTTTCTCAACAAGGTCAAACAGGAAAGCTGATTTGCCGGGCAGCAAAGCAGAAACAACGAGCCCTTGTGTTGGGAAGCGTGGTTTCTTTGCACAGACAAGGCGTGCGTAGAGCTGCAGTTTTCGAGGGATCTTATGTCAAAGCAAGAACAACCTCAGCATGGATGGCAGACTTGATGCAAAGGTTTGGAGTTTGTTCACTGAGCACTGTCTTGTTATTTAAATCGGCCTCAAGTCCTCATCCTCACCTCAATAACTAATCGGGTACGGGCTTCGCAATGGATCTTTTTCATGGGTCGATTATTTTTTCGCGAATCTAGCTTGTGAAGTCTGTGAACTGAACCAGAAACACGGTGTGAACCTTTGGCGTCCTGCGCCCTTGCTCTTTTGACTAAACTTGGCACACCCAAGCCGCCCCGAATTCTTAGCGTTGCCACATCTTGCCGCCTTGCCTGCCACAAGCTTCAACCCTTAGCCTTCTACTTTGCTAAATCGGGGGCCGGAGATATGCCCGGGCGTCTCTGCCATGAGACCAACGAGTTTACCGCTGTTGCCCTCGGAAGTGGAAACGGCTGGTTTGTCTGAGTCTGATTGCCATTTTCAAAGGTGTGCTGCAGCAGTCTTCATGAAGCGACATTATGCTTGGTGGTGCTATCCCAGAGACATCCTGCAACAGCTTGGGGGCAAGATTGCACGTGGTTCTTACAACTTTGCAGCCCCTCAGCTCCCCACCGCCTGAAGCTTCACGTCGGCCCGACATGTCGTTAATAAGTGGTCTCGGATTGGGATCTTGGGCTTGGTAGCCGTGATGGCCGACGTCGCCGGTGCTTCAGCAGCAGTTGCGGCGCAACGCCTGCTGGCGCAGAGGCGGCTGCGGATCCTTGGGTTTTTACATGTGACAACGTGTCGTATGTGTGTTGTCTTACTTTTCTTACTCCTCTGTTCTTTACATAACCCACCTGTTGGCTTCTGCGGCCGCCGGGGCCATGTTTGCGGCGGGTCAAGATTCCGCCATGTTTGACATGGTCATTTTGGCTTTCGTCCTGCTCATTAGCCTCATGGGCCTTGGGACTTTTCGGGGCCGTGTTGGTTTGTGTGATGCTCTTAGCCGTGAAATTCCTTTAAAAAAGCTGTAAGACCTTAAAGACATCAACCGAAAGCCATGCAAATTCCCTGATTCAATTTCGATCCCAGCTTGCACTGCTTTTTGCAGCTCATGGATACAGGACAAGTGGTCTTTCGGATTTCTTGCGACAGGTAAGCTTATTTTGAAGCACGTGCACATTGAAATTCTCCTGAAGTTTTCAGCCCAAAATCCAAGTAGTCAACGCTAGTTGCCTCATAAGGTACTACTGAATCAAGTCTTCGCGCAACGATGTAACCGGCTCTCCGCAGGCCCAAAGATCGCCCGAGGCTGAAAGATCCGCTCCGAGGGCGCGAGGCTGCGGCTGCCCTGTCTCCTTTGGACCTTGGGGTTTCTGGACAACTCGAGGGACAACTCGAGGGACTGAGGTCAGGATCAAGGTGCCCTTCATGTCCGTGGTTGCTTACAAATCCCTCCAAACAGGTCGCCGTGGTTCGGGCATGGAAGCAGATGCCTGAGTTCGTCGGGTGTGGCAAGTGTTGCGGACTTTTGGCTTTGGATTTGCAGCACTATCAGCACTCTCCTGTCTAGGATGCCGAGCGCTGCAGCACAGGTTTGAGGAGCATGCTTGGGCTTGTCTTAGTGGGCCTCGCGCTTCAAGCGGCTTAGAAGTTCGGGTAGGCCCCATGAACAATATGAACAGTGTGTCAATCCCCCTCGGCCCCGAACTTGCTCGAGGAACTTGCGCAAAATCCTCCTGCTCCTCAAGAATGCCCAACGCCCCTCAACACCGGCGCAGATCTGTCAAGGCCCTCCGTCCTCGTCTGCGCTGGAGCAGGCCTTGAGCTGTTTTTTCTTCCCCGGCCTCACCATCTGACCTTAAAACCCCCGAATTTGTCCTTGGAGCAGGGTTCAAGGGGTTCAAGCTGGGGGAGGGCTCATGGACTCATGGTGCTCGAGCCATGTTGTTACATTCGTGAGTGCAGTCTGTTTGGCTGAACAGTCGCAGATGGTTTCCAGGAAAGGTTTAGGGTGCAGCACTGTGTGTACCTCAGGCCTCGGTTTCGACCGGCTTAGAGAAGAGCTTGTGATGAGCTTGTTTTCGCTGCGTTGTTCGGGCTCCGTGGTTGGGTTTGTGGTACAGCAAGGGTTTCAGCGCGCTTGCATGGAGTTGTTGAACTCGGCGACATGAGACGAGCCCCCAGAGCAACTTGCAACGAAGCTTGCTGCTGAGATTTTCCTGGCGACTTGGCAGTACTTTGTAGCAACATACAACCCACACCTTCCCAGGCCCCGCCCTGGCAACCCTTATGACCCAAATACAACAAAAGGCATCGCTGTTGAATCGCGTCGCCATCTCTGCTCGAGGGCACGAAGTCCCAAGCATCCCAAGTTTTTCAGAAAGCCACCGGCTTCTCCACTTCGAACCATGGCCTTCAGCCTCTATGCCGTCGCCACCTTCGCCTTTGTGGTCGCCAGCCTGGCCGAGGCCCTTGGGAAGCAAATTGCCGCTGTTTTCGCTTTTCGCTCGTGTGGGGAAAGCCCGAGCCTTGAGCATCCAGTCATTACTTACCGTAAGCCTGTACATGAAATTGCAAGATCTTGCAAGCACCTTCTTAATGCATCTGGTTGAGAAAAGGAGCCGCTCGGATCTTCAGATGCAGCCCAATGCAGCCCCAGGACCCCGCCGCTGTGTCTGCCCCAGAGCCGGCAGCCGCGGAGCCCGGCCAGGCGTGGTCGAGCACCTACGAGCTCGGGGTTCGCTCGCTAATCCTATGGTCACACGAAGCCAAGCGAACAAAACAAGCCTTCTTTTAGGATGCTGTGGTCGACAAGGTGCAGCTGTGCTGTATGTCCTGAACGCTATGGCCGTGCAATGGCTTAAGCAGCGTCAAGGTGTGTAGCACCCACCATGCGTTGTAGAGTGGATAAGCTAAATATCCCCCATACAGATCTGCCCTATAAAATCCTCTTCCAAAACGGGTTTTGCATCCCCTCCATATACCAAAACAAGGCCACCCCCCATATTTTTGGGAAGCAGGCGCAGGAGATTCCGCCGCTTCTCAGAAAGAGCCCCCCCCTTTTTTGTTTCCAATCAGAATGCGGACCCCCTCCCCAACCCCAGGTTTACAAGAACAGTGTTGCGCGCAAACGTATTTCCAACGATCTACAAGCTGTTTCTGTGGCCGACACAAGCTCACTTGTGAGTTCCAGCGCCGCACATACAACACAAAAGGTCATAATGCCAAAAGACGTGCTAATGGCCCGCAGAACTAAACAACGTTTGGGCCAGCGCCAAAGCTGCAACACTTGACCGTAAACTCGAAACCCTGATAATACGAGGCGGTTTCTTTGATTTGCCGCCAGGAAGGGTACCCTCAAAGACCCCCGCTGCCTCACCTGGTGTGTTGTGGATGCATCGCGAAGGTTTGAACTCCGCATCAAACCAAGAGAAATGCAAGGGGCGTAGGACTCAATTTTCGTGTTCTGAAGGTTTAATGTTATTGGTTGGGGGAGGTGTCGCGGCACCATAGAAACGGGGGTCGTCAACCTACCGACAGCTTCGGCTTAAACGTGGGTACCCCTTCATGACGGTAGCACAGCCCAGAGGGCACTTGGCAAGCAACCCAAGATTCGAAATACTGTTCCAAATTTGAAATTTGTCAAGCTCAACTCAAAGTTTGGGCCACGGGCCACATCCAATGGTATATAATCTCTCCTGCTCTCTAGAACCTGCACCTTGAAACCTGAATGCCAAAAGGGTGGCGCCCAGAGTCTTGTCCAACTCCTGAGCGCCAAAAGTTCCAGGCGCCGTCTACATGGGGCCAATTTGTTTACTGCAGCTGTGGCCTGACGTGTGAAGCCACTGGGCGTAACAGAGGCTGAAGGGCTTGGCAGGGCTTGGCAGAGCTTGGCTAAATTTGCACCTTGAAGAATTTAGGGGTTTTGAGGTCTTTCGGGATTCTTTGTCCGAAGTACTGCAATCCTCTCGTCACTGCAGCCCGAAGCCCCACAGCCTCGTGTCGCGATTGCATGGCTGCCCTCTCCAAGATCAACAGAAGGCGCAAAACGGGCTCGCCATCACGGGGACCTATTCCGTGAACTTCGGCGTCCGTGTACTCGAAAGCCCCTGAGCCTCCAAACCGGAAGCCCGAGAGGATGCCCAGGCAAACCTAGGGACCTAGAGTATCCGACGCGCCTTGAAACCTTCGATCAAAGACAAGTTTGCCATTGTGAGGAAGAGGTTCGAACCTGGCACATCTTCGTTGTCGGCAAAGCTCTTTGGTGAATGTTTGGCTTTTGGGGGCATCTGGGCTTCAGGATCGAGGCCCTCTTCTTGCAGTCTGTGGGGCCGGTGTTTCTTAGGGTTTACAATGGGCATGCTTCAGGTGGTCTGAGCCGACCATTCAAAAAAGTCCCCCAACATCTTGGCAATGCGGGCCCTTGAGAGCCTTAGACTTACTTGAACTTACCCCTCGTGTGAAGTGCCTTCTGAGAAGCCAAAAAAAGGCACTGGACCCGCTTTAAAGCTCCCCATCACGAAGCCTTGGCTGTCCCAGGAGTCCCAGGGGTCCTCAACCCCGAAGCCATTCAGCCTCCACATCTCGCCCTTTTTTACCAATCAGTGCATGCAGGGTTTGCCAATCAGTGCATGCAGGGCAGAGGGTCTTGAACAACTCTAAGGACCAACACCGTTGATACGGACTTAAAGACATCGATAAGGCCTTAAGCCGCGATCAACTAACCTCAGACACTCAAGAGTCAAGAGCCGTCTTGCTGGATCAATTGCGAGGCCTGTGGCTGCCGCGCGTGCCCGGAGGGCCTCTCGGTGGTCAAGATGTTGTCAGGTGTGAAAGAGGTGTGAAAGAGGTGTGCAAGGGGTCTCTGAAAGAAATGATGCTTTTGAAGGCATCCGGGCATCCCGGCGGTGCTTTCGGGGTTTCTTCGTGAGAGCTCCCTCCCAAACACGAAGTTTCAATCCCAGAGGCCAGAAAAAACAGCATGAAGCCCCGTGAAACCCAAACCCCGGCAGCTACAGGGAACGCCACGTCCCTGCGCGGCCGCACGGGCCAGGCAAGCTTCTTGGATATCCACTTCGTTCTGGGCTTGGAAGCCTTCGTGTCTTAGTTTTTCAGAACCGGCCCGAGCCGTAAACCCATGCAAACTATGTACGCTTGTGCATCGAGGACACCCCTCTCCTGAAACTCGAAGCTGGAATGTGCTAGGACGGAGAAGGATGTCGGGACTTCAATGGTGCCCGAATGCGAAGCCCAACGCCAACGGCAGGCCACGGCGCCTGGCACAGAGATCGCAGTTTCAGCACCGGCTGAGGAAAGCCGCCCCGAAAGCAAGGCATGGGGATGCCATCTTGCAGGGTGAAGGGATGTGAAAGGATGTGAAAGGATGTGAAAGGATGTGACATGTTTCAGATTTCAATATGCCCATGGATGCCAGCTCTAAGGCCCTTGTGGGGTTGTGCAAACCATGCAGCGAGGCGTAGATCCCCCCAAGCCTAAAACCCTTCAAGCAAAGGTTGCGTTTAGCCAGGCGCATGTCTGATGAGCCACAATCCCAGGCAGTCAACAAAACCTGAAATCCTGCAGGCGCAACATAGCAAGGCCCTGACTCTTGAAGCTATGAAAAGTTTCGGCTTATCCTCAACCTCAGAAGCGCTTGCATGACACCACACACATGTAGAACCAAATAGAGCCTAATTGACACTCCGAACAATAGCCCCTTAACGTAAACACTTTAACTCCAAGAATCACTCTGGAACCTGTTCGCCCCCAAACGAACTCTCCAGGTCCCAGAAGCCCGAATTGCAGAGACGCCGGCCGCCGCCGCGCCGCTGAAGGCGCCGTGCGGGAAGTGTTGGTTAGTTTGGTTGTTTGTGTGAGTGTGCTCTTGTGAAAGGCTTTGGAGGCTTTTGGAGCTTAGGGTTCATCCATGAAATGTTTCGAAGGAGGCGGTGCTGGCCAAGGTGGTCAAGGAGGGCCCTGAGGAGCCATCTTCAGCGGCCATGTCGCGAGAGTCCAAAACCTTGTGGAACATGTCTGCAGCCTACGGGAGCCGTCGCCTGCCAGATGCCCCAGATGCCCTACGGTCAAAGTTTCGCACTCGACCAACTTCCCCCAAGACCAATCCATCCATTCATCTCCAACTTCGCCAGCCTCAAAGCCCAGCACGCGCGTGCGCGTTTTTGTGAAGACTGAAGCATGATCGCGATGTCCAGGAGGAGGCCCTGGCTTGGGATAGCGCCAGGCTTGCAGCCTCAAACCTCTTCTACTGCCGCTCTGCTGCCTTAGAGGGCCGGGCTTCGCTGACGCGACGCTCGACGGTTTCACGAAACAACCCGAAGGCCCCCGGGTTTGACCCGGAACCCAGGAAGCCCCAATTGCCCCAATCCCAGAATCATGGCAAGGAGAGGTGTTCCTCAAACGTGTCCGTGGGCAAACCAGTGCGTCTGCGCGGAGTACTACCATCATTAGTGTTGTTGTTACTGTTGTTTTGCTACTACGATTTTGTTACAGTTGTTTTTACTATTATTAGTTACTACTTAGTAAGTACTCATCAGTAGAATATACACTGCGACATTCTGTTTACGAACTATGAATATTTGATGAATACCTCTTAGTAGATCCCAGTTTCCAATGATTAATCATAATTGTTAATTACAAATTTCATTGCTAACCACTACTTATCACTTACTCATTACAGCTTACTTTTCATTAAGTTCTAATAACTCGCTGCTGATTACCAATTGCTAATTCCGAGTTGCTACTTCATGAGTTATCAGATGAGTTTATTAATTTAGATACTCGCCAAATGCTATTCATACCAGTACTACTTCAGCATTGCGATAAGCATACTACTGTAGTTATTTTTACTATTACTATCAAAGATCATCATTTCTGTTTCTATTTCAACAACAACTTCGACTTCTATTGCTACTACTTTAGCTGCTGCCATGATTCATACTGTTTTATTAATAGTACTGCTTCCACTGCTGAGGTGATTTTGTGTGCACTTCCGCTGTTGCCGAAACTTTTGCCTTTGCTGCTCCTATGCTACATCATTGCCGCAACCTACTATTCACATTCTTGGAAGCCTTCTACAGCAGAACACAGGGATCACAGCAGAATGTAAAGGCCTTCATCTCACTTTTGTCTTTGAGGCCTTGGTGCGTTCACAGTGTTAAGAAGCTGGTGTTTAACAATGCAGGCCTCATGGCGATCAATTCTCTCAGCTTCTTGTTTTTTCTGTCTATGTATATGTATATGTATGTGTAAATTTATATGTATATGTATATGTGTTTGTGTATGTGTATGTGTATGTATGTGTATGTATATGTGTATGTATATGCTAAATGTATGTGCTATATGCTACAAACATATACAACCCAGAAGAGGAATCTGGTCTTGGGGTTGTGTATATTGAAAAACTACATGTATATGTACTGACGTATGTAAGTATGTAAGTAAGAAAGTATGTATGTATGTATGTAAGTATGTATTTATACGTATATACATGTACGAAAGCATATGCACTCCAGGCACGCGTGTGCGCGTGCGTGCACGCATGCTGCAAAATCTGTTGAGTGAATTGCAATCCTGGGGGCTCTTTCGCCCCAACCCCCGCCCCTTCCCTCTTCTCCTCCACCCCCTCTCCCCACCCCGCTCTCTCCGACAGTGTGCCTTAGACACTACGAGGTTTAAGGTGCGCGCAAGGTCGTTTGCGGACCTGGTCCGGGAGGTCCCGAGCGCATCCCGAAGAGGAGGTGGTTTGCTGGACGTGGCTCGGGAGGTCCCGAATGGGAGCAAACGACCGCGTTTTCGCTACGAACCAGCCAGATCCGTTGTCGTGGGTGCTTTGTTTGTTTTTCGTCGGGGGTTTGTCTGTTGCGTCGGGCTTGCGTGTTTCAAACCTGTCGGGGGGCTGTCCACCCCTCGCTCCTCCCCTCCCCCTCCCTCTCCCCTGCCCCCCAAACTCTCAAGGACCCACAGAGCCTCCGTCCGAGGCAAGTGCGGCAAGTACTGCGTGGACAGCCGGGGCATCAACCTCTGGAACCCCCTCTGCTTCCGCTACGCTTGCCGACCCTGCTAGTCGTGTGTTCGGGGGGCACTTGTTACTGTTTAGGGTGAGTTCTTCGACGTTTGGGTATTTTTCCGAAATTCAGGTCAAGGGCAAGCTGCCATGCTAAGGCATGGTGTCTGGAACTGCGAATCCACACCTGCACGGTATATAGCTTCTAATTCGATCCGCTCGGCCCTGCAAGCAGCGCCTGCTACGCTCTTGGCCGATCCCCTCGATCTGCCTGCAAAACCCAGGGAGGTTTTCACGGGTTTGGCTCGAACTAGGGCGACTCCTGAACCCTCAGAGCCCAACAGAAGCCCTCTCTCAACTTCCCAGCCAGAGCGGTGTAGGCTTTGCCTCTGGAGTCTTTACCGCCCGAGACCACCCAAGAGCGTCAAGAGCATCAAGATTGGCTAAAGACCTAAACCTGCCAGCACATCAATAATCCTAGCAAGGCATAGGCCCCAAAACTGATGAGTCGGATCCCAAAAGCGAGTCCTCCGTCCCAAACTTGAACACGTGGCCTTGGAGCCCGAAACCCATCCGGCTGGAGAGGGGGGACTGTTTCAAGTCAGGAGCAGATGCGTCGTAAAGTGCATATCGGCGCCGCACAGCCAGGCACCAGGATCGGCTATCGCTTTGCCCGGAAATGCTTAGAGCTCCATGCTTGCGATGTGGCTTTGAACAGGGCGCAGCGCAGGTTCCTGTAAGGGTACTGCAAGGTTACTGTCAGTCTTTGGCTCTGCAGGTTTCAGTTTTGAGATGTTGCGCTGAGAGTGGTTTACGCGAAAGGGGATCCTTGTATCCCTCTGATTGGATTGCGGTGGTGAATGTTGTCCATGAGCTGTAGCTTTCTCGTGTTTCTCGTAGGGTTCGTTGCATTCGAAGTGGCTTTGGTAAAGTAGTGCTACCTCGGTTTCCACACAACACTGCGGAGCTGCACTGTTGGGCAAGTCGAGAGATTTCTCTTACCGGGGGTTCACTTGCAATGCGGGGTTTTAGTCTGTGTTTTAGTTTGTGTCTTGTTTAAAGAATGGGTTTTCAGTCGGGATCGACATGGGTAAACGGTGTTTTTGTGAATTTCTCGGTCTTGGGAGCGATGCTTTGGCTCCCACGATGCTGCAACTTGAGTTGCGTTCACCTGTGCTCGCAACATTCACAATTGCGTGCACAGTTGCATGGAAGTGTATAGGGTCCCCCGCCCCCCGCTCTTTACTGCTAGAAACAAAACAGTCTCGTCAAAACAAAACAAGATTCGAGGGGGCTGGAATTTAGAATAAAGTCCCTTCTCTCTTCTCCCCTTCCCCCCCCTCCACAATAAGCAAAGGGGGGGCTGCCCCCCCCCCCCAACCCCCCCGCTCTTTATTTCTAGAAACAAAAACAGTCTCGTCTCTACTCCTCCAGAAACAAAAGCAGTCTCGTCTATAGTCGTCGAAAAATGAAATACAAAAGCAAAACAAGATTGGAGGGGGGTGGAATTTAGAATAAATTCCCTTCTGCCTCCTCCCACTCCACATTCTCCACTCCCTCGTCTCTAATTTAAGTCCCCTCTCTTTTCTCCCCTTCCTCCCACTCCACAATAAGCAAATGGGGGGGGGCTGCCCGCCCCAACCCTCCGCTCTTTACTTCTAGAAACAAAAACAGTCTCGTCTCTACTACAAAAACAAAACAAGATTCGAGGGGGGACCCTGCGTGCAGCAATATCCAGGGATTTGGAAGGCAACAAAACTCACTTACCGTGTTTACCATTTTTTCTTCATGGGAAAGGCAGCGGACCCAGAATCCGCATCTCGAGCACCAGAACCAAAACCTTGCATTGGAAGTGAACCCTTGCAGAAAATTTGTTCATTACGGCACGGGCGAGAGACTTTGAAAGACCCAGGTGTGTGAAGGTGCCAAGCCCCACATGACCAGAACCTATGCTTTGGATCGACAGAGCCTGAAGCCCCCAAGAAGCCTCAAGCTGCAGATCATAGCCCCCCATAACCCTGGCACCAATCGACAGTAAGCCGGCGTCGAACCAGGCTTTGCCCCTGAAACCCAACGCCCGCAAGAAAGCCTGAAACCACTGCAAATATGGCAGATGGCACCGAATCCTTGCAGCAACTGGCAACACCAGTCTTTCTCCCGTTCCCGACACACAGGGGCAGAATGCCCAGTAAAGTGTGCGGCCTTGATCGGAGACAGAGGTGTCAATTGGAGCCCCGCTAGTGCATTCGATGGATTCGAGCTTTATCTGAATTGTCTCGGACCATGGTAGAAGGCAGTAAAGGGGTTTAAGTTTCAAGACTGCAGGGTTGGCACTCGTTGTTTGAGGGGATTGTAGGTTGATCGTGGCTTTAATGTGTGTGCCAAGCAACTTGGTTAGATCGAGGGCGGGGTTTGAGGGCGTCGCCTGGGGCCCGTGGCTTCGATGGGTGACCTTCCCACATGATTCTCTGATATTTCAGGGTAGAGGGTTTCAGATGTTGGTGAAGGGGGCCGTGCGGACATGTGACATGTATGCAGCTGTATGCACGTAAAGAGCAGGAAGGTTCCAAAAGGGGGGGAACTTAGGAACAGCAGCTTCTGACTTTGCATGTCAGAGCCTTGGTGGCCTTAGTGGTTCGCTTGCTCTGAGGGGCCCTGATTGCAAGAGAGACAGGGTAGTGACACGATGTGGCACTGCCTCAAGGCCTGCCTAAACTCTGCAGTTTTGCCTCTGAGAAAGAAAGCTTCCGTCAGCTCTCGTTGAAGCTCCTCAAAGTCAGACCTTAGCTGCCGCAATATTCCAGTTCCAAAACCTCGCAGTGCCCTACAAGTCTGTACAATCTTGCAATTTTGCACCGTGCTCGCAGCTTTCAATGCTTCAGGGGCGTGTCGCCCAAGCCCCCGAATCTCCACACCGGTCCACACCCCCTCCTTGCAAGCTTCCGTGGGGCAAGATCCCACGCTTCCTTTCTATCCCCAGCTTGTAGGGCTCTTTGAGCCTTTTCGCGCTTGAGTCTTTTGGATCTTCTTCACCTTCCGAGCCCCATAGCCATCATCGAATCACAACCATCTACAATCGAGACGCCGGGCACCAAGCCCGGCAAGCTGGCAAATCAGCAACCCCCCCAAAGCCGCCCAAAGGCCAGCCAAGCTGTAACCACAAGGCCTGAAACCTCAAGCTCGCTCTGCGTCTCCCCTGAGCGTCCTGTGAGTCTGTGAGCAGCTTTCGAAGCCGCAGGCGCAGCCTTGCGCCAACCGTTTGCGAGGCGGCGCGCCCAGTTGCGGGGCTTAGTTTGGGCTCCTTCATGCTTTAAAGAATCATTGGGCCGGTTTCCTTACAGCACCACAAAGCCTAAGATCACCATCCGGAGACAAAAAGCAAAAGCAGCGTGGGACCTTGGCTGTCCGCATGCGGGCCATCTTAGAAACCACAAGTCGTGTCCGAAGGCAAAGCCCGCCTCTTTCTCCTAGGCGGCGCCTCCGCCGACTGCATCGCGGTAGCCGCGGTGGGGATGCGGAGGTTCGCAAAAGCTTATTCGTCGCAGGGGGTTCAGGCTGATTTAGGGCTCAGGGCTGTCACTCCCCCCCCCCGAAATTCGAAAGTCCCCCCAAAAAACATGACAATTCACAAAGCCTCAAGCCGGACTCAGGGCCGGCCGCCCCCCGAGCCCCGGGCGCGCGGGCCGCGCTCGGAGCGGGACGTGGCCAACGACGTCGTCTTCGGGGCGGCTCCGATGATCTCTGGGAATCGTAGGATCCGTAGGTTTGAGGAGATTTGAGGAGATTGCGCTCTTGTGTCAGCACCTTGGGATACCTTGAACCCTAAGCCCCTCACCTCGCGAACAACTTTTGTAAGCAAGGCCTTGATGAAACTTGTTCGCCGTCGAGACATATTGAGAACCGACGTTCAGGTGGCGGGCATTGGTAGGCACAGAAATCAACATCCGAATGCAACCGCCCCGAGGTGGTAGCTGTGGACCTTCTCTTCAACCACGACCGGTTGGACATGGAGGCTGCGAAGATGCAGCGCGTTGCAGAGGGTCATGAAGGGCCTACTCTAAACTCGACAATCCAAGAAAAAATCATCTTGCGAACCCCAAAGAGTCCGATAGCCCTAACTCTAGAACTGCCCCCCAATTTGCCAATGTCGCCGTGTCTGCCAGGTCTCCGAGGCCTTTCGTCGCTCGGTGTACCATCCGGCCTGGAAGCGGCTCAGGTGGGGAGCATAGGGAATTCAAGGGCTTCTGGGCTGGACACGGGTAGCTTCAAGAGGGTCTTTATGAGTCTTTGTCTTTAGGGCTTGGCGGGCTTGGAGAGTACTTGAGCAGTCTGGGAAATATCAAGCCCGCAAGCCCAACGCCCCAAGCCTTTTAAGTCGTTTTCAGTGGCCCACGCCTTCAGAAACAAGAGGTATTACTCCGATGCCACAGCGCCAGAGGCGCGCTCGCCTGCAAAGCCCCGGCCCCTGCGCGCCCTTTTTGCATCCTTTTGCTGTTCATGGATTGCGGGGCAGACGCTTGCAAGGATGGGAGCGTAGATGGTTCAGAGTTCAGAGAGTGTTGGAGCCTTTTGACGAAAGGCACATTGATGATGTTACGATGTGGGCCACTGCACGCTATCGCACCCTCTGACCGGCGACATTCCCCTGCCACGTAGCTCCCAATTCTCTGAGATTTTCTCGGACAACCTCCACGCCCTCGATATTTCAATTGGAAAACAGGAAAACTTCATTAGTCTCTGTATTCCAATACACCTCTATTTTCTCTACATTTATAGTCGTGAGGCATTCCACATTTTTCTTAGCATTTCCTGTGGCTCAAGAGAAATGGGAAAGAAAGGGTTTCAAAAAAGGGCTGCGCAAAAATCTCCACCCCGTTCCATTGTGCACTTTTCGTCAGCGCGATGCCGCGCGTTCTGTACTGTCCATAACATCTTACCGCACCGCTTGCTTAAGGCAGTCCGCCTAGGGAAGTAAGGTTGCCAATGTTTGGGGTGGACTTGACTACAAGCGGGGAATCCCACGTTCCCAGGCCGCCCCCCACAAACATTGCAGCTCCGTCAAAGGCACGGGAAGACCTGCATGAAGCCCCTGTCACAGAAAACATCAGAAAACCAAAAAACAGGCAGATTAAACTGACATCCTGCCCCCTCTCACCTGGGCCCCATGCCGAGGTCTTGGCGACTCCAGGATCGGACCTTGGAGCGGCAGTTTAGCTTGAGCCGGCTTCCCAGATTACCCGTGACTGCACCCTCTTGCAGGGGTAGTGCCCTGCTCCGCCATCTCGAGGTTGTTTTTTTACGGAGGCAGCGACGAGGGAGCTGGACATCTCTAGGATGCAGGCGCCATCTCCATGTGTCATCAAGATGTGTGTGTGTGTGTGTGTGTGTGTGTTTCCGGTGTTCGGCTCTGCTGGAAACTTGCACGTACATCGCCATGCAAACCGCCCTACATCCATGGAAGCGAGAAGCGTCAGAAGCCGCATCCGGAATGAAGGACCCACTGATCCCTTACATGCAACGCACGAGTCGCGGCCTGCTCTTTCAGGCCGGATGGGAGTAGGTTGCGAGGTTACGGGGTAATTTTTCTTGCTGGTGCTTTTCAAACGGCTTCTGCAACAGGCCCAAACCATCCTAAAGCCCAAAATCAGGGACTTTGGACGGACAAAAAACCTTCCGCCCTCATAGCGGTGGCACGAGCGGAACCCAGCCCAGCTGTCGTGGCCCATGCTTTCAAGTGGGGCTTACGTGGGCCTTCCAAACTCAATGCACATCCTACGCCAAGAGCTTTTTGTTGCTGAGCCCTAAGAGTCCTTTTCCCGAAGCGCCCCACAGCCGTGAAGCCTTCAACACTAAGCGTCTAGACGTCCTAGGACCTAGCCCGAAGCCTGAACAACTCTGCCCCCACAACAAGCACCCAGAACCTAAACCGCTGTAGTCACCACAACCTTGAAGAACCAGGACAAAGCCCTCAGTCCTGCACAATCGAAACGGCCTCACTGCGGAGGCGGGTGTCCGGGCGACGGACGATGGAGCCTCAGAGTGACGCTCAAGCCGGGACAAGTGCCTGAAAGCCCCTTCCTACGAGAACAAAAGAGCTGCCATTTTCGGACTTCAGAAGCTCTTCAAGTCTGGGTCTCGTCAGGATTGGCCCAGAGTCTCAAAGCGTTACACAACTTTGGTCTCAGCACCTTCAAAGAGTCTAAAATGCTCTAAAGCATGTCTGGGCTAGCTTCGGGGTGTGGAGGAGAAGGCCCTATTTGGCTTTCTGCTCACAGTGTTGACAGCACGTCAATATATGTCAGGTGGCAAGGCTTCCCCTTTCTTATTATTATTATTATTATTATTATTATTATTATTATTATTATTATTATTATTATTAATGTTCTTTGTGTGCACTTCCCGGTGTTTTTTGGTCCCCACGCTCTCTCGGTTCAGCTCGGTTCAGTACATCGCCCATCGCAAGATGCGTTGAAACGTTTTATCCTCTTGGGAGTTGCCGTTCAAAGCCGTTCCAGGATCCCGTCTCCAACGCGCTGGTGGCGTGGATGGCCCACAGCCTGAATGTGCAGCACCCAGGGCAGACTTCGAGTTTTTCGGGGAGTTGAGAAGGCGGGTGAAGATTGAGACATACTGTGACATGCTGCGCATTTGCAGATGTTTCGAGAAGTCTCGTGCTGTTCTGTCGGATTTGGGCTTGCTCGGGATATCCGAGCTCGGGTTGACTCGTTCCTGGCGTAGGCCATCGAAGCCCGTGTACGTCCCCAAGCCCGAAGGCACATGGAAGAGAGGGAGAGAAACAGACCCTTCTCAGCTTTCTGTTTTTCTTGAAGCATCACGAAATCGCAGAGGTTCATTCAGATTTATTAGATGCTCTGAGCTGAGGTGCCTGGGAATGCCAAGGACGAGCTGCGGCTTTCTCGCGGCCGACCTTTCGGTGGGAGGGGGTCCCAGGGCCTCAAAAGTTGCTTTGGGCATCCCTTTTTTTTTGTTTTGGCAGAGCGGGTGTTGCAGCCGTAGTCTTTTTTTAAATATTATATTTGTTTTTGATTTTTATGTTTTTTTTGGCGAGGTGTGCAGCTAAGGTTTCGGTTTTCCGGGGCCCCTCCTGTTCGGCTCTTTGAAGCTGCGGTGTGAAAGTCTTTGGCCTCATGAGGGTTATGGCCTTTAATAAGGCTCGATGCCTTTGTAGAAGTAAGGCGTATCATGACTTGCGATGCTGTGCAAGCCGTGAATCGGAAAGCTCAATCTTCCAGGGTTTGGGGTATCGTCGCGCCCTCAAAGCCCTGCAACCCAATCCAAGACAGACTTCCGCCTGTCGCAGGCTATGCGATCGGAAAGCCGGAGGTGCGCCTTGATTTGGGCTTCTAATTGATTAGGATGAGGTGGACGACATGACGACGTGCACATGATATGCTTGATGAAGAAAATCTTGCACCACCCGCACTGCCTGGTTCGTCAGAAAGCAAAAGGACGTGCGCCGCCCCTGTATCCGTCATCTTCAATGTTACACACAGCGGGTACAGGGTACTCGCTTAGCTAGGCCGATTCAAGTGGTGCAAGACTTCCTCCCCATCAACAATATTTGATGGAGGGCGTGTAGAGGTGGTGAACATCGCTTTTTCCGCAATGCGACACAGGGCTTCGCACTAGCTTCAGGATCTTCAGGGCTTTGAGGGTTTTGTAGCTTTCACGGCTAAGGTTGAGCATGCCCCACAGGCCTTGCGGGAAGGGGGGGCGGGGGTTGCAGGTGAGCGAGTGGCTGCTTCCCGTCTTCGTCGAGCACGACCGCTCCTCTCACGCGGAGCGCATGGTGCGCGGGGAGCGGGTTTAGTATAGGACTCAGGAGTTTGGATCTTGGGACTGCAGGAACTGGATGTCGGGTTAGGGTTCAGGGTTTTCTAAAAATCGGCTACACGGCGGCTAATCGGTTTAGTGAGACCAAGGCCGATGTGAGGGGTTGTTTTCGACAGACCTCGCAAGAATGTTCTCTCCTTTGACGGTGTACAAAAGTACTGATCTGCACCCTGAGTGGAGGCGTTGCTTGCCGTTGGAAAGCTGGCCACGAGCTCGGAAGCTGCAGGGCAGAGTAGGATGCCTTAAGCTTCAACGGGAAATAGTTCGGGTTGCTGCAACTTAGGATTGCCTGATCAGCTGCATGTGATTTTGGTCATGTCCCCTTGGAGGGCTCAATGTGGCGGCGCGGAGTGTGAATGCTTGGAGGGCTCAATGTGGCGGCGCGGTGAATGCCAGAGAGCTCTTGGAGCATTTCTGATATTTCCCATGCTGGACAAACCCCTAGGCTGGGGCATGGATAAGGCTTCTTTCGGAGTGTGCCCTATGCTACTGTGGGACTAGAAGGGCCATCCGGAGGCCCGCAGCATTACCAGAAAGATTTCACATTGTGTCTGCGTATCCTCGAAAGTACGACCAAGCCTTCGCATTGTGTGGCTCACACGACCCGCACTCTTCCTGAGCACTTGATATCCAAACAATCTGTGCAAATGTTGTAAGCACGGGTAGCTGAAACAACGAAACATCCTTTGCTTTCAATCGGTGGTCGTTTTGCACCGTTGATGATAAGCCCGTGCGCTTTGATTCTCATCTTCGGTTGCACTGGAAACGAGGGAAGTTTGAGACGGCAAACAACTGGACCAGGCTTTGGGCCTGCACGTGAGAAGCTCTCGTCAGGTGAAGTCTGCAGGAGCTCAGCTCCATCCGGATAGCTTCTTGGCCAGAACTTTCATCGCCAAGCCTGAAAGCTCTGATAAACTCTTGATACCAAAGCTGCAACCTTCGCCACAAGCCCTAAGTTCCTAACGGAAGGCCTGTGTTTTTGTGTACTTGTATAAAATTGTCGGTGTTTGTGTTTGTGGTCTGGTGGTGCTCAGGTCTGCCGTTCCTGTGGTCTCATGGTCCTGCGGTTCCCTGCCTAGTCTGCTCGTCCTCTGCCATAGATGTTTGATGCTCCGCTCACTTCTTGGTTCAAAGTTGTATGCCCTTGATCCTGTTTATTGAAAGTGGAGGGGTGGCATGCCATGGCTGGACGGTGCTTGGGGGCGCCCTCCCCCCCCCCCTGGGGAACCATTGCCAGTTGTGAGCCTGCGGTTTAGTCCACGTGCGTAGGGTTCTGAACAGGCTGTGGCCGGTTCTGGCCTAGCGTGCTAGGGTAGGAAGTGGTAGCAACCTGTACAGAGTTTGCCGAACTGGTGGCCGTAATGGCAGCGCGTCTCTAAGCGCTAACGCTTGTGTAGGGGTGCGCTTATTTGTTTGTTTTGTTTTGGGTATCAGGGTTTAAGGCTTTAGAGGGTCTTAGGACTCAGGCAAATTGAACCACCAAGGGTGAGACACACGCATCCCAAACAGGAACATGATCCTTTTAATTATCACGGAGCCGCAAACCCTAATCCTCTTGTCCTGCGGTCCCCTTGTCATGTGATCCTCCGGTCATGTGGTCAGGGCAACACTTTTTCCGTAGTTGGCTGTTCTGCCCGCCCAAAGTTTTCAAGGGATAGCAAGGGCGCAAGCATGTCGTGTAAGCACTGAATTGTCAACACATTTGTGCAATTTTTTTGGATTGTAAACTTTTGTGAAGCCTTAAAATGTTGGTGTTCTTGGGGCCTAGGCTCCGTCAGTGGCACGGTTTCGGCCCGGGCCCCCGGGGCAGTTTCGTCAGGTGCTTCTTGCATTTGTTTCGTATGTCTGCAAGTCATCTTGGTTTCTGAAATGTAGCAGAGGGTGTGGGTGTTAAGCCCGTTCTTCACGCCTCGCGTGCGAAAAAACTCTTGGCAATCCCGGAGATGATGCCCACAAGATCTTCGATGTTGACCACGACATGGGATGAAGTTGTCGGAGGGTCGAGGCGAGTTTTTCAGGGTATTACAGACGTGGAGAAGGACTGCGACAAGAGCCTGTAATGTCTCTGGATCTCTTTCGTCGGCCGTGTGCGATGATAGTTTGGTGCTGCGCAATCGCTCCAAAGGCTCGTTACAGACAAGCTTGGTCAAGCTTATGTCTTTGCTTGTTGTCGCGCAACAGATTTGCAGATCGCCGGTCTTGCAACCCGGATCGTGCGACATTCGGTCTTCGGCGGGGATGGTTCAAAAGGTCTTGAATGCGTCTGGATTGGTAGGACCACTTGAGCTAGGTCGGAGAGAACGTGCAGGCCCATTCACCCGTATTCACAGAAATGCTCGGTTGCAAGGGTTGAGGGTCTTGGGTGGAAATGATGATGTCGAACTGGCCGTCGGACCCTCGTGCAAACATGTTTTAGAATTAACACTGACCTGCTCACACACGCGGCCCCTGCACTGTGTATGCAGCCTAAGCCTTTTCATCCAGCCGTATCTCCAGCATGAACCTCCGAAAAGGTCTACGCGACACACACTCCCTGCATCTCCTGCATGGCCGTGTTCTGTCAGCCCGAGGCTCAGGGCCTGTGCCAGGGCGCTAAGAAAGAGTCTCGGGGGGGGGGGCGCAGGTTTTCGTGGCCTTTCGAGTGGTTTGCTCTGCGCGATGGAAGTGTCGATAGACCATGATAAGGCCATGATAGACCGATCTCACTGGCCCCCAAACATCCCTGACCCTGAAGCCTGCTACGAAGCGAATCTGTTCTCAGAGGTTCAAGCAGAAGCTCCCGGGAGTGAAGCTCTACGTCTGCTTTGACAAGTGGGGTCGGCATCTTAGCCCCGCAGCCTTGGCTTAAAATAGGTGGGATGAGGATGGATTTCATGTGGCATATGTGGCATTGTGGTGAGAGTTTGGGGGATGTTGGGGGTCCGGGTTGCTGGGACCTTGGGTTGTGGTGTACTGTCTTGGTTCGCAGGTCTCCAGTTTTGTTTTTTTCAAATGGCTTCTTTGGTTTCGCCCTTGTCATCTTTTGCCTTTGTTGTGTTCTACGTGGCTTCGGCTGGGCCCTGAGAAGCTGGCGCCCCATCCTATGGAGAGTCCAGTGCGCCTGGAGCTCTTTTTGCTCTTTGCTCCGAAGCCGCAGCCAACAAGCAGAGCAAGGCAAAATCGAGGAGAGTTGGTGCCAAATTTTGCCTTTTTTTGAGTCTTTTCCCATCCGAAGCCTGAGAGTCCGAGCCTGGAGGCGAGACAAACCGCTGGATTGCCGAAGAGGTGCGGGCGCTTCCTCAGGCCCTGCGCCCGCACTTGGGGTCGAGAAGAGGGTTCTTGTTAATCCTTCCTGACGGTCTTTGAAGAAGGCTAGGCAGGGAGCTGCTTAAAGTAGCCAGCTCCTTTTTGTAAGACCCATTGACAAGGAACGGTTGCGGGTAGTTCAACCTTGTGGTGCTGAGATGTGGAGGAGGCATTCAGGTGCACGGTTTCTGTGCGCAATTGAATGTTGGTTAAGTCGATCGCGACTGGGTTGTGTCGTGCGCGCCGGGAACCGTTGGGGTTTTTGCACAGAACACGGGAAACGCGAGTCGGGAACGCCCAGGAGAGCTTGCACAGAACAGGCCCACCAGTCCAGATCAGGTGGTATGATAATCTTATCGTGCAGAACAGTCCTTGGCTTGGAGCGTGGGTTGAGTTAGGTTCCTCCCAGGGCCGAGTCGGGCACAGCTGCTGCGAAAGAACGAAAGAACGAAACATTGAAAGAATGAAAGAATGAACGAATGAAAGAATGAAAGAATGAAAGAATGAAAGAATGAAAGAATGAAAGAATGAAAGAATGAAAGAAAGAACGAAATAAAGGAAGGAAGAAATAATGAAAGACAATGAATAAAATAAAAAGACAAAGAGAGAAGAGAGGAAAAAGAGAAACAGAGAAAGTGAGAATGAGAGAAAGAGAGGAAGATAGAAGAAGAGAGAAGAAGAAAAAACAGAGAAAAGATACAAAAAGAGAAAAAGAGACGAAAGAACAGAGAGCATGAGAAGAAGGGAAAAGGACAGAAAGAGAACACACACACACACACACCACCCACACACACACACACACATATATATATATATATATTTACATACATACATATACATATACATATACATATACATATACATATACATATACATATACATATACATATACATATACATATACATATACATAAACATATACATATACATATACGTATACAAATACATATACATATACATATACATATACATATATACACACACACACACACCCACGCATGCATGCATGCATGCATGCATGCATGCATGCATGCATGCATGCATGCATGCACGCGCGCACATGCGCGCACGCGCGCACGCGTCACGCACACGCACGCGCACGCGCACGCGCACGCGCACGCGCACGCGCACACGCGCACGCGCACACGTGCACACACGCGCACTTGCGCGCACACGTGCACACGCGCACACGCGCACTTGCGCGTGTGCGCACACACGCACGCACGCACGCACGCACGCACGCACGCACGCACGCACGCACGCACGCACGCACGCACGCACGCACGCACGCACACACTCCACACACCACACACACGCACCACGCCCACATGCACACCCGCACCCACGCCACACCCCCACACTCACTTACGCAACGACTCGCACCAACTCACACACGCACACAACCACCACGCACACGCACACACGCGCACACACACACGCACACACGCCCACACGCGCACACGCGCACACGCGCACACAGGCGCACACGCGCACACGCACACGCGCACACACGCCCACACGCGCACACGCATACACGCGCACACACGCGCACACACGCACACGTGCGCACACGCGCGCACACACGCGCGCACGCGCGCACACC